TTGAGCGGAGTCCCATGACCTGGGGGGGAGCGGTGCTCTGCTAAGGGTGAGCACGCTGCTCTAGGAACAAGGCAGGCCTCCTCAGCCGGCCTTCCAGGAGCAGGAAGCTCCCTGGAAAGCAGCCAAGAGACCAGTGTACCAGGAGCAGACAGATGAGCCCAGGCTGAAGTCCTGGGGTGAGCTCCAGCATCAAACGCTGCAGGAGTGGAAGTCTGGGCTGGTCCCTAAGGACCTTGCTCAACATGAAGGGATTTGAACACGGTTCTGAGGGCAGTGGGGAGCCGGCAGAGTTTTATGGAGGGAAGGGACATGTCCGGCAGCTGTGTGGAGAAAGGCAAGCTCAGATGATGGGCAGCCTGTAGCCCCAACAAAACAGCCCTGATTCTGCTTTACCTCCTGGGAAGAGAGGCAGGTGGATGAGGCAGCTCTCCACTCCAGGCAACAAGTCTGTCGCCCCATAAACCAGGCTTTATAAAGGTTAGAGGGTCCATTCTTTTTGCTCATGGATTATAATTGCATATTTGCATTTCCAAAAAGGAGACGTAGAACTACTAGATTGCGAGATGCCTCATCCTGGAACCACTTGGCTTCTGCACATTTGCAGCGCAGGGAACACAGCGTCAGGCCTGGCAGGGGACAGTTAGTTGTCTGAAAATGCTCACCGGTGATCTCCTGGATCCCAGGCTCCCCGGGGCAGCCTACGGGCCAGGCTGGCTGTGGGGGGGACTCAGACGTGCTCATGCAAGGCCTGGCTGCTGTCTGGCCCCAAGTCCGGAGGGCGCGGGAGGAGGCTGAGGCCTGGAGGGATGAGCAGACTGTGTGCCTGGAAACCTGAGGACTAGTTTTAGGTATAACAGCCACACTGGGGAACGCATCTTTAGAGGCTGCGAGGCTGACACTGTATGAAAGTGAGATGGTTCCGATCAGCCTTAAGACAAACAATCTGCTAGGCTAGGCTCAGCCGACTAGATTTTTATTAGCGTTTCTCACGGAAACGGGTATCGATCGGACGGGGGCCGTCATGGCCTCTGGTAGCAAAGTGGCGGATAGCGGAAAGGCTGTGCATTTCAAGGATTTGATCTGGGCTGAACTGACATCTTTCTTCCCAGCCGGATCGAGTCACTTGTTGGGACGACCAATGGATGTGCAGACATGTGTATAACTTATCAGGAAAGGAGGGCAGCCGGCTCCCCGCCCTTGGCTCTGTCTGTGAGCACTGCCGGTCAGTGTCCGTGTCCCCGATCTCATGGGTTGGCTTCCCTTTCTCAGCCCTTGCAGCCCCAGCGGTGAGCTGGTTTGCATGAGTCTGCTGCTGGTTCGCGTCTTCTGAGGACCAGGGCTCTTCCGTTTGAAGCTGGCTCTAGGAGGACTGAGTCAGCAACAGCCTTGTGCGGAACCCAGCAAATTGTCACACTCTGTAACAATGCTAACAACCAAGAACCTCAGGAGACTCTGAAGTGATGTTTTACTTTATCATTTGGTGCAGGGTTGCACGGGGGAGGTAAGGGATAAGGGGAGGAGGTGGGTTTGGTGGATATATTTGCCATAGGAAAAGTCCAGGAATGGCTTTCTCTCCCTTGATTATGTTTTTAGTAAAGTCACCAATAATCGGGATTTGCATAGAATAAAAGCCAGTGAGTATTTGGAAATCCCCTCTTCCCTGTTTCTGTATGCTGTAACCACAGTAAAAAGACTTCTTAGGGTTGTAGGTTCTTAAGAAGTCAATTTTCATTTAATTGGTAATAAATATTGCAGATGATAAGAACCACTGTCACTGCGTAGTAGAGTTTTCAATGTGCAAATGGTACATCCTCAGATGCCTTTTTGTACAACACCGGTTAAGCCTCCATATACATGGTCACCTTAGCCTCGAAGTTATTCATTCTTTTCTACCTCCCGGAGAGGATTGGAGGATACCATATTAATACCAAGAGAGGGGAGCCCTCTAGTGGAAAACCGTCAGGGTCCATACTGAGCAGGGAAGAGCCAGAAAGTCACAGGCGGCTTGTTAAATTTAGTCCGCGAGTTGAGCTGTGTCATTTGTAAACATGACGCGCCCCGCCCTGTCCTCCTGCTGATCTGGAAGGCGTCTGTCAACAAGTCTGTCATGCGGAGTAATCCGGAACATACTGCCCTGACCCGTGTGGCTCAGTGGGCTGGGCGTCGTCCCACAAAGCGAAAGCTGGCCGGTTCGATTCCCGGTCAGGGCACACGCCTGCGTTGAGGGTTTGGTCCCCGGTTGGGTTATATGCAAGAGACAACCGATCGATGTTTCTCTCCCTCTCTTTCTCCTTCCCTTCCCCTCTCTCTAATAATAGATAAATCTTTAAAAAAAACAACCTGTTGGGACCTGTGCTAAGTAGAGAATCTGTTTACAATCACTCTCCCGAACACACACAACTTCCTTCATAGCCCGCGCCTGAAAACTGCCATGGGCAACGCCAGGGAGTCCGGGGGGGGGTGAGTTTTGATAAGAAATACAAAATCGAGTCTAAATGAGTTGAAATGACTATCCCCCCCCTCGCCCCGCACCCCACCGTGTCATGACGGCAAGGGCTGCTCGGCTCGCTGCTTCTTTAATCAGAGGAACGCCCCTTTCTAGCCCAGCCTTCCTCAAGGCCACCACCCGGGTTGGGTCGCGCCCGACTTTGTGACTCTCCGTGTCGTTTGCCTTGTAACGAGGAAGACGGTGACAATGCGTGTTCTCCCCTGCGCCTGGCCCCGACACATGTCTGCGATTGCCACGCCAATTTCTTAGAAAAGTTGTCCTACCCTCTTGGCCAGGGTCATGATATTTCTGTCGACCCTTTATTCCTGTCACTAGTGGTTTATAAATAAGATTTTTTAATAAACTTTAGAAATCTCAAAACTTTACTGTTTAACTTACTGATGTTAATGTTCTATAAGTAGGAGTTTTTAAGCATGCCTGGTGGGAACCCCCGTGCTGTGCATGTGCGTTCTTACACCCATGCCTAAAACGGATACGGCACTAGGGCTGGCGTCCCCTGCCCCGGGCTCTGTTGTTGACCATCACTCATGAGCCCCTCTCCTAAGACCCCACTCTGGAGCTTGCGCCCTTCAGAGAGTCGTCGTGCTGAAGAGTCAGCCAGGGAAAACGCAGACTCGGCACATTTTCGCTAAGACCACAGCGGCCTTTGTTTCCAGCCTGTGACATGAGGGAGTCTCCGACAGTCTAGTCGGCAAAGCTGGCCTGTCCTTTTCTGAACAATGACAACAAAAATGGCCGCAGCAAGGACCTGTAACTCCTGTCTGTGTTTCGAGGACCTTCTAAGGTCTCCTATCTCCCTTACAGCCTGCTCAGCTGGACAGATGCGGCCATTGCTGAGTTCTCCGGGGTCTCCCTCTCTGGGGGACTCCCATGGTCACATGCGGCATGACATAGTGGCTTTATCCCATGCGCGTATGTCCAGTCTCCCTGTACACACGCTTGCCCTTGAGGACAAGGCCGATGTGTTATATGCCCTGGGTCTAGTTCATTCATTCACTCACTCATTCATTCACCCGGTGAACAGTTTTTGCGCCCATCTGGGGCCAGTCCCTGTTCTACTCTCTGGGGACGTATTGGTGAACAAAATGAACGAGTTCTCTTTCCTGACAGAGAGAGACATGGGAGAGTAAACCTTAAACTCATAGGCACAAGTGGAAAATGTCCACCCTGAAAACAGAAATAAAAACACATACCCTGTGATAAAAATTACCAGGGAAAAAGCATAGGGTACCCCGAGAGAGAACACTGGGTGGTCTTATGTAGGCTAGAGGTCAGAAAAGACCTCTGAGTGGTGGCGTTTGAGGGGAAAGCTGAAGGCACATGGTATTTCGTGCTTTGAGGCACGGTTAACCAGCTCTCAGGTCACGTGGTACAAACTTAACTTCGGAGGATCCCCCTGACTGTCTTCAAGGCAGCCCCACCCCTCCCTTATTTGCCACCAACCTACACCTGTTGTTCGGTGCCCCCTGAATCTGATAGTCCATGGAGACCCCTGGCATGTCAGCTCAAGCCACAGTGGAAGTGAAAGAGCTGGACCTCAAGGCCACTTGCAGAGTTAGAATGAAGGTTATTCTCACAAATGTATTTGCGAGGCATTTTTGCAGTCCATAGGACACTTAGCCCAACCATGGCACATGACCTTGATTGCCAAGGACAAAGCACATGGCCTTTGGAGTCGAGCAGATCTGGGCTTGAACTCTGTGACCTTGAACAGACAATTTCGTAGTCTCATACTTGTCATCTGTACAATGGGGGCAAGCTCACCAGACACGCCCAAGGTTCTGTGAGGGTCCGAGTGGCGCGCCCGGGCCCAGAGAGTGGGCAGGCACTCACCCTTCCCTGTAATCCCCGGCCCTCCCTGTCTGCTTACATTTATGCCGCCTCTGGGCCCCAGTTCCCCCCAGTGCTCCACGGTCACATGAAGACCGCCATCCCTTGCTCAAAACCTGCTCTTGGGGCTGAATCTGCTTCAGTTAGAAGGCATAATGGGCCACCCGGCAGCAGGGAGGATGAGGACCAGGTGACGGAGTGCAACTTAGTGCCACTTAGTGGCAAGGCAGGGCGACAGGACCAACTCCCGTCGTCAAGCTGAAGCCGGCAGAGTTTGCTCCAGGAGCGGACACCAGGCAGGGTGGCCACTCCGAACCTGGCAGTGGGTCCGGAACACCCAGCCGGAAGCCCAGGCCTGCCAGTGGGGCTTAGCTAGGAGGAGGAGGAGGGTCAGTGAGTTAGGCTTCCTGAAGGAATCCCAAAGAGTCCCTTCTGGGTCCCCAGGGAGAAGGGTGTGAGCAGGGCAGGAGGTGAGTCTCCGCGGAGACTTGCAGGTAACTGCGCAGAGGCCAAGGTGAGATCAGCCTTAGGAATAGTGCAGGGCAGGACAAGCAGGTAAGGCCGAGAGCTATGGGAGGTAAACCTTACAGGGGACAGGACCTTGGGCTTATATGCAGATGTTCTATGTGATTATAATCAACTCCCTCCTGCTCCCTTACAGGTGAGTACAGACGCTTCCGGCTTGAAGAAGGTAGATCCCAAAGGTCGGAGTGCACTGTTGGCCGACATCCAGCAAGGAACTCGCCTACGGAAAGTCACACAGATCAATGACCGCAGTGCCCCGCAGATCGAGAGTAAGTGAGCACGTGGGCCAGGACTTCACGAGCCACGGGAGGCCACGGGAGGCTCAGGCAGGCACCCCTGGCTTGCTCAGGGCGGGGGCCATGTCCGTTACCCAGGACAGAAGTCACACTATCTCAGACCTGCTCAGCGTACAGGCCACGTGGGTGGAGACTCAGCGCTTCCCTCCCAGGTGTGCAGAGAGTGTGTAGGGTTCTCCTCTCCTCACTCTTCAAGTGCTAAAAAAAATCTCATGGCGACATAACTTTTTAAATTGTGACCAAATTCACCATGGTACCCACTGAAAGCGTTCAATTCAGCGGCATTTACATGTTCGCAGTGTGGTGCAGCCATCACCTCCATCTCGTCCCAAAACACTCATTCCAGAGCCCTAGGAGGACACCCCAGACCCACTGGCAGTCCCTCCCCATGCCCCCCAGCCCCAGCCCCTGGCAGCCGTTCAGCCTGCTGGCCGTGTCTGTGGATTTCCCTGTGTGGGGCTAGCTCCTATAAATGGAACCATACAGCATGTGGCCTCTGGAGCTGGCTCCTTTCACTGGGCGGCGTGTCTGCCAGGCTCACGCACGTGGCAGGAGCCAGCCCTTCTCCCCTCTTTACTGCCGACTGATACCTCCTCGTAGGGCTGTACCACCCACTCTGTGCCTCTCCACTGTGAGCTGACACTGAAACGTCACCGAGTCAGCAGAGCCCTCAAACTCAGTGAGAGCAAACGTAGAGTCTCAACATGAAACAACGGGAACTTTTTGTTTTCCCACAAGGAAAAAGATTGATTTCGGAATCCCCTCACAGGATCACATGACTGCAGCTGTCTGTGTCTTCTAGAAGATGACAGGGTAAATGGAGTCTGTGCTTGGGTCAGGGGACTTCTCATTCTGCCACCACGCAAAGCACGGCACCTCTCCGAGACTCAGTTTGCTCACCTGCAAAATGGGAGGGATAATAACACCTGCTCTGTCTCATGTGTGTCAAGACTGGGGAAGGTTGAGATAACACATGCAGAACTATTTATTGTAAGGTATTACTACGTCTTCATATATTTTTAATGGTGACCATGGTGTCAATTCTCAAAGATAGTCCTAAAAATATAAGAATCTAGTATCTGTGATTGCTATCTATGTTAATACACAAGGACAGACAAATTATTTTAAGAAATATTTCCCATAACCAAATTAGAAATTTGTGTCTGGTGAGACCCACTATCTAATTGATTAAGCCCAATGAACAGATAAATCCATTTTATTGGAATACTCACTTCCTAATCATTCCAATGAGCTAGTAATGGGTAATATTAATATTTAGAATAATCTGGCCACCTTCATCCACCAGTGGGCACTGCGCCTTCATTTCTCTGTGCTCGTTAGCTTCAGCTTGTGAAGACTTTTTTGCCGAGAGCCCTTGTCTGAGCTGATTGTCTTCTGTTATGTAGTTGGTAAGCACACTCGTCTGGAAGGCTGGACTTGGTGACCCCTCTGACCCCTCTCCTCCGGGGCTCACAGGCTTTCTCCTCCGTAGACTAAAAGGCGCAGGGAAGCGTGCGGGGCTCGGGGAGTGAGTGCTCAGGAAGGGAAATGCTGAAGCACCAGTCAGTGACGGCAGACCTTCCCTTCCGGCTTGCCGCTCTGGGCCAGGCTCTGCAGACGAGAAGTTAAAATTACTGCCTGGATTGAATCTGCAGGTCTCCTCTGGCTAGTCCTCCCAGTGGAAAACAAAGCCAGCCCTGCACCTGTCTTGTCTAGGTTTTCTCCTTTGAAAGGTGCTGCCAGTTCCTCCACTGGCATCTACTAAATGGCGGTGTCTGGGTCCCTTGGTTTAAGTCGCTTTGCAGAGTGGTCAGCCACTGATGGTTGGTTGTTTGGGAGGCCCAAAGAGGGCAGCAGACAGGCCGGGGCATGAGCCTGCAGGGGGTCTAGGCAGAGGGTATTTGGCAAAGATGCCATCTGGAAGGGCAGAATCACAGGTCCCGCAGGTTGGAGGACTGGCAGGCTGCCACAGGCATTGCCAGACCACGGCCCGGGGTGAGAACGGGCTGCTCAGCTCTACCCACGAGTCTTCATCCACTCGCCTCTTCTCTCTGAAGGTTCTAAAGGCGCCAACAAAGAAGGAGGAGGTTCTGCAAACTGTCAAGGTGGGAGCACGCCCCCAGCCCTGGGAGGTCTGTTTGCCGGGGGCTTTCCTGTGTTGCGACCAGCAGGCCAGAGGGATGCAGCAGGTAAGGAGGAATCCAAACCCAGCTATCTTGTGATTTTTTTTTAGATTTATTTTTTAGATTTTTTTTTATTTTTAGAGAGAAGGGAAGGGAGAAAGGGAGGGAGAGAAACACCAATGTGTGGTTGCCTCTCACACGCTCCCTACACAGGACCTGGCCTGCAATCCAGGTGTGTGCCCTGAGAATCAAACCAGTGCTCAATCCATCCACTGAGCCACACCAGCCAGGGTGGTATCTTGTGATCTTCACCTCCTTCACTTGGAGACCCAACTGGGCGATCCTTCACACGCCAGTGAGCGGTGTGTTTTCAGTGAACAGCTGTGTGGTAGGAGATCATGCATTTGGGAACCTATGCACCAGAAATTTCCAAAGCCCACGATTGTGCTCAAGGGATCTTTCAAATCATCCATCTGTTTATGTCTTCGCATTGTAATAAATGAAGACGGACTTGCCACAGTGCATGGTGTTTAGTGATGGCATGATTGTGGCCCAGACTGCAGAGTGCAGACAGGCATTCATGACATCACTGTGGCCTCACTGGCGATGAGTGAGTCCAAAGGGTTCTCAGTCATTGTGTCACTGTGTCCGTTAGGTATTGCTGAGTCACAAAACACCCTGACACTCATCTGTTCAGTTTACAATTCGTGGGTTGGCAATTTAGGGTGGTCTCAGCGGGGCGCCCTCTGGTATCTACAGGTTGGTACATGGCTTTGCTAATTTTATATTTCTTATACCTTTGGTGCCTCATCTGGGGCGACTGGCCTGAGCCATTTGGTCATTCAATATGTAGCAGAGTGTTCAGGGTTTGTTTTTATAGCAATGGCAAGGTTCCAACAGAGAGACTAGAAGCATATAAAGTCTCCTGAGGCTTAGATTTGGAATTGGCACAGCACTACCTCCTATTGCATCCTCTTTTCCAAAGCAAGTCACAAGCCCAGCCAGAGACAAAGGTGGGGAAACAGACTTCATCTCCCGATGAGAGGAGCTGCAAGATCACGTGGCAGAGGGTACAGAGTCAAGAATGAGGAGACAATCAAGGCCATTGTTGCAACTGGTCTACCACAGTCAGATGTTTAAAAAAACATTGCATTAAAATTAGAAAAATGTATCTTTAGTATGTGCAAAAATAGGTGTTTTTCCTTTCTTTCTTTCTTTCTTCTTTTTTTTCCTCTCTTTCTTTCTTTTTGGATAAACTCAAAGAATTTTATTAATCCAAGAAATATCAAGCCCCAAACATTCCAGATATAGAACATCTTCTCCCATGTGACTCTGCTAAATTTCTTGCTGGGACTGTTTGACATTAAGGGATGAGTTTGCTGCTGTCACCCACTGATAAAGCCCAGCAAATATAAGGGCTCTGGGATGCTTTGAGATCCCCCTGGAACCTCCTCAGAGGGCATTTCCTGTCCTCGTTTTTGCTGAGGGTTCATCAGACGAGACAGTGCCAGGGTCATCCTGAGAGCTGGCATTCTTCTGTGCCTGCTTCTTTTTCCAACTTCCTGCCTGGGACCAAAGAAACATTCTTGGAGATACAAGAATTCCACTAGCCTCTCTTCACGGAAATAACCCCAGTCGGGATATAACAGGGATGGGACAAAGGAAGCCGGCAGTATTCCTGCTTGTCCCCAATAGGACACAGGTGTCAGACATCGAAGCCACCGTGTGCAGTCAAGCATTGATCTCTGTAGAGGAGGTCGGAATCCACAGTGAAGTGACTAATGACGCCTGTCACAGGAGGGAAGTCAGGGACAGATGAACAGTAGGTGCACAGCCTTAGTGCCATGTTGGAGTGAGATAGCCAGGGCTCTCTTCTCCTTCACGGAAAAGGACTCTGCCCTTTGCTGTCTCTCTGACCTTCTTGCCCACCACTCCTGCCGGCTCGAGCCCTGCGCTCCAGCCACACACTGCCCTCCTTGCTGTCCTTACATGACCCAGGCGTATGGCTGCCGCAGGGCCCTTGCACAAACTGCTCCCGAGGCCTGAAACACGTTTTCTCAGGTGTCCACTTGGTTCACTATCTCCCTCCCTCCCTTCGGGTCTCTGCTCAAGGGCCATCTGACCAACTTAGTGAGGCTTTACTCACCATCCACGTAGAATGAGTCGCCCTCTCATTGCATATCCCTTCCAGCTGAATTTATTTTTCTTTTATTATTATTACCATTGGATATGTTATATATTTACTCCTGTATTTTCTGTCTTCCCCTCTAAATGCATGCTCCATGAAGGCAGGAGCTATGTTTTGATCACTGCCTTAAAAATGCCTGGCACATAGTAGGTGCTCAGTAAATATTCATCTACAGTGAAATGTGTGAGTGGGTAGTATGGCTGCTTAGAGCCGTGAAGCCCAGAGAACAGTGTCTAGTGATCACAGTGCTTTTAGGGGCCCATGAAAACGTTTGAATTTATATTAAAATTGGGGTGGATGGGAAATTTTCAGATCAAATGTTATATTTGTCTTTACACCAGTGCCTTCACAAAATGTAGCTCTGAACATTTTTTTAAGGAGGAAGAGGGTCTCCAGAAGTCATAATGTGGCCCTGACTCAGCACTCGCAGGGAGAGATCACTAAAATAGGGTACAATGAGTGACTGTCGCCGGGCTGAGAGGAGTGTGTGACGAGACTCCCGTGCAACCCAGGGTCCTCTGGAAACAGAAGCACGTGGGAAGGGGAGGACAGACTTCATCTTCTGATAACCCGCAGGCTCTACAAGCTGACCCCTGTCCCATCATTAGCGAGACCTCCTGGGTGCACTCCAGCAGGCCTCTCCCCACCTGATTCCTGGTCCCCTTTGTGCTTCTGGTGGGGTGTCCAGGGCTGGCGCCCATGCTCTGCTGGACGGCCTCCTCCCTTCCTGGCCTTGGCACGCCCTGTCGGAGCTCTCTGCTGGCTGGTGCCTGCCTGCTCGCCTCGCCGGCCCTCACATGTCAGCAGCTCTCTCTCCTGTCGCTCCCACCTTAAATGTGTGCTGCCAGCTCTCTGCGAGACCCCGGAGTGGGCCTGAACACAAGCCGGAGGAGGATCTGTGCCAGCCTTGGTTCTCGGCCCACGTTATGACAAAAATGCGTTTGTTGGCCCCTTTCTCGTTCGGTTGGCTGCTGAGCGAGCAGAGGCTCCTGCCCTTTGAACTGACTCACTTTCTGGCTGTTTGAATGTTGGAGACATGGGTGTCCTCAGTCACTTAAAAAGTTTGGGTTAGTTATTCAGGGCCTGAGTCTGCCCTTCCAGTCTGTTACCCCTTTCAAGTCCACGCAGCAAGTGGGCCCTGGTTTAGGGAGCTGCCCGGGCTCCCCACCTCCATCTCCGTGGACGACGCACACAGGTTTGAGACGTTGGGGGCAGGGTTCCCTGAGCCCGGCCCCTGCCCTTGACCTCACGTAGAATGTTGGGTTTGTGGTGGCAGGAGGCCGAGTGGGGGTTTTCCCTCCCGGGCGTGGTCAGCCAAGCTGCTCCGGCAGCGCCGGCCGCAGACCCCCAGGGGGGTTGAGTCAACCAGGGTGGGTACACCCAGGCAAAGGCGTCTCTTCCAGAGCCACCTCAAAGAAAATCCTCAGTAGAGTGAAAATGTCACTGCCCCGCCTCCAGGACAGACATCCCACAGCTGAGCCCCGGAACGAGTGGTCTTGTCCAGGTGACCGTCACAGCGTAGCCAGAGGAGGGTCTTCTGTTTGGAAAGTCAGACACCGCCCACTCAGTCCTGCCCACTCAGCTTCCCCCGAGTCACCTTGCTTTGACTGGCCTGTCTTTTGGCATCCGGTACTTTGGGGTAGGATTTAGCACCCGGTTGGGAAAACTCACTGGAGACTCATCGGCGGAAAAGCTCAGGCTGCCCACAGAGGCTGGGGTTACAGTAACCCGGTGTGAAGGCCGTGGGTCCTGGTCTGCAGCACCCAGGAAGCTGGAGGTGTGGGAAGCAAGCATGTTTTCAAGGGTTTCCCGCAGGTTTTCGGGGGGATTGTAAAGTGGAAGGGCGTGGAGACAGGGGAAGACGTGGTCCCCTGAATGCCTCTTTGAGACAGCACTGTCCTTGTTGGGGAGAAATATTTTGAATGCATCCTACATGGAGGCTTGCATGTGCAGTGATTGCAGAACTTCTGTACCGGCCACGGGGGGAGGGACCTTTTCCTCATCCGGCAGACAGAGACCAAAGGGAAGGCACTAACAGCGTGTCAGAAGGGTGTGCAGCGTGACCGGGCCGCTCCTGGGGAGCACCCTCCTCACCAGTCTTCCACGAAGGCCACCGAACACAGATACTTCCTGTAGGCTCTGAGACAACTGTAGGCTCAACAATGACAACTCTGTTGTTGTTGAATTCACGCAGCACTGGATTCCAAGCCGGGGCGGATGTGGTGGAAAACCTACAGGGTGAGGAAGCCGGGAGACCAGGAGACAGCGGCCCCCTTAGAGATGGGCACACGTCTTTGGGAAAGGGAGCTGGGAACGTCCAGAGGCCAAAGGAGTGGGAGGTTCAAGGTCATTGGAACTAGATCCCCGAGGCAGGATCTTCCCACTGGCTTCGGAGCATGCGCTTCTGCTCTCCATGTGGAAACAAAGTCCTTGTTCCCCGATGCTGGGAGGGAGGGACACCTCCCTCCCCAGGAGATTCTGGTTGGCCCCTGAGGACCCAAACTAGGATGTAAGGGCTGGTGGACCTAGTGGGTAGGAGTGGTGAGTGTGAGGTGACCTTGAGAAGGTCAGGGGACGTGGGAGCAGACCCTGGGCTGGGAGCCGGGGAGACCCGGGCAGATGAGGGCCCCGGTGGATGCGATAGGATGGCTGCGGCCTGGCAGCACCGAAACACTGGCGAGGAGCTTGGGGCCGGCCCAGCTGGCCCTCTAGGTGACAGCTGCTGCACCTGAGGCCTCTCAGGGGACCTGCCAGGAGAGAGCATCACCTGCCGTTCCACGACATCACGCTGAAGAGCCTCGGTCACTGCTGCCCACACACGTGGGGCTTCTCTTTCCTCTGTTGCTGCTCTAACTCGGAACTTGTCTCATTTCCAGGCGGCAAGACAGGGCAGGCCCCTGGCTCCCGAGCGCCTTCTCCTCGGCTTCCCACCAAAACTATCAGCGGGCCGCTGAACCCCCCGGCATCTCCCAAGCTGGGCAGTGCCTCCTCCGAGGCGCAGGGCGCTGCCAGAGCTGTCCCTCCTCGCCCCAGCGTGCCTGCCCCGCCTCCTCCCACGCAGCCCCCACCGCCCCCACCCTTACCCCCACCCCTGCCCTCCTCCTCTGCCATCAAATCTCCCCTAGTGTCCCCACCGGGCTCACAGACCAAAGGTAATACCCTGGGGGTGGCCCCCCCTCCGCCCTCGGCACCTCCCCCTCCCCCACCTCCCCCAACCCCACCCCCTCTTCCCCAGAACTCCATTCTCAGTGACAAGGCAGTGAAGCCTCAGCTAGCCCCCTTGCCTTTGTCACCCATCCCGCCCCCGCTCCCTCTCCTCCCGCCTTGCGGGTACCCCGGACTCAATGCCGATGCTGCCAGTCCCACTCAAGATGCTCCGGAGCCTTCTGCCCCGCCGCCCCCACCGCCCCCGCCCCCGCCACCACCGCTTCCCCTTTACGCCTCATGCACCCCGAGGTCCTTGGTGCCTGCGCCCCCTATGCCAGGCGCCAACAACGGCAGTGAAGCCCCACCCCCACTGCCCCCCAAGTCGCCCAGCTTCCAGGCTCAGCCACTGAAGCCGAGCGCGCAAGCCTTGCCCGCTCCGCCCGCGCCTCCCGGGTCGCAGCCGTTCCTGCAGAAGAAGAGGCCCGGCCGAGGCCCAGGTGAGCGCAGCTGTTCCGGTCCGCGGCGACCCCCCGATCAGAGGACCGCTTGCCCTTGCCAGACATTGAGGAGGTACCGGGGCCACAGCCAGAGGCCTGCTCCTACGAGCGGCTGGGAAGTACCTTGCGATGTCTTAACTCGGGATTGGGGGTTAGAGCAGTGCCCCTGTGGAGGGCAATAAAGATTTGTTGTGGCACTTTACGTCGGGGGTATTCGCGTTACAGACAGGAGACCAAGAGTAGGGGAGGCTGGAGGACCTGTCCAAGAGCATGCAGACCACAAGTCAGAGCTTCTGGCCTGGGTCGCCTTGCTGGTACTCACTGTGTGACCCTGCACGCTCACCCGGCCTCTCTGTGCCCCCTTCTTCTCCTTCTCTGTGAAATGGGAATGGCAATAGTTCTCCCGCGGGCAGTTGTCGGAACAGGGCCTGACAGCCGCGAGATCTGGAGGAAGGTCGTGTTCACCATCGCCCCGGGGCTTGAGGGGCTGCGGGTGCCCTTGTCCCAGAACCAGACCTCCTGCTTAGCTTCCCTGAGTTACCGCAGGCCAGCTCCCAGCCCGAGTGGCCACAGGCCCTCCGTAGATTGGATGAGCATTCTGGGTATCCCCCCTTTTTGGGGGGAGGCTGATTCTCCTGCTGACTCCAGAAAACCAGGGGCCAGTATTTCCAGCCCCGTGTCAAGAGGGACCCCTTCACCCAGGCAGCGGCGGCGCTTCCGGACTGCGTGCACATGCGCAGGACGGGTGTCCACGCGGTGGAAAGGCCGCGTTCACTGTTGGGGTGGGTCCCCCTGAATGGGAAACCCCCACACGTCCACGCACACGCACGCGTGCATGCAAACACAGTCATAAACACCCAACTTCTTTTTTAAAAATACACCCGCACCCCTACACACCCATCTACACTTGTGCACATATGCCTTGGTCTTTCAGAAAATCCTTTGATGCATAAAGTTTCTTAAATATATTTCCCTGTGTTAAAAATAACACAAGCTCATTGAAGAGCAAATAGAAAGACCTTTAGATCACCCACAATAATATCATGGAGAAATAACTGTCATTTTTGGATGCGTTTTCTTTTTTCTGAATGTAGCTATATATTTACATAATGAATACTATTTTGTATATACTACTGCCTATTCTGGTTTTACTTAATATTAAAAACAATTCTGTCAAATCGTAAAAGTATATAAGCATATTAATATGATCATCAGTATATACCATATTTCTAATGTCAGATATTAAAGTCAGTTCCATTTCTTCTTATCGTTAATAACATGTGAGTTGCTGCAGGAGATACTTTCACAGCAATTTGTGGGCTGCATTTCAGATATTTTCTAAGATAGGTTTCTGAAAGGCAATCCCTGGTGCAAAGAGCGAGGGAATTTTTAAGCCTCTTAGTGACGAGAGATAAGGTTTTAATCATTCTCTTCTCGACCTGCTGTTCACCCTGGGGCCAGCATTGGAGCCGGAGAGCCCTTTCTGACCTTGTCATTCTTCAGTGTTCCTTGTGTGGTTTTAAAAACCAGTGCTTTACATTCAGAGACATCTGAGTCCAGAGCCTGGTTCCTCCTCCACTCCTGTGTAACCTCATGCCCGTTTTTTTTAAACGCTCTTGAACTTTGCCCTCCTTTTACTTGACAAATGAAAATAATAATGACACACCTCCCGTAGGATTGTTATACGTGTTAAGTGAGGAAATGTGCCTGTGGCTGGGGTGCAGGCTACTTCCCTTCCCTCTCTCTTACCACATGGGGGGCAGCTTTCCATCCAGAAGCGGGTCAACAGCCCTTAGCCCCTTTAGTCTGCTTGTGGGGGCAAGTGAATCCTAGTGGATCCTGGGACAAGGAAGGGTGGACCAGCACGGGTAGGAAGGATGAGATTTTTTTCTTAAAAAGCTCACAGGAAGCAGAGTGTGGGACACTGCCCGCCCACAGGCATGGGCCCATACACGCATGTCCTCCCGTGTCCTCCCGTGACCCCGCAGTCCTGGGCTTGTGCAGGCTCCGGCTGGGGCTCCATCACGAAGTGCAAGGCCCATGCGCAGAGCTGAGGAGGGAGCCTGGCAGCGTGGACCTGGGCCCAGAGCCAGGTGCCGGCGGCTCTACTTGTATGGGATGGTGGGACTGCCACGATGCCTCTCTGGGCTGCACTCTGGGGCTCTCTTGATGGTTCTAACCCTGGGAGAAGGCTTCCATTTCACGGGGAGTAGCCCCAGCCCCTTGAACTCCAGGCTGGGCATCTGGGCCCTGGCCTCGTGGGCCTAGTGTGGGTTGGAGATGTGACCAAGAGGTGACAGACTGGGGCACAGCTCAAAAGTGGGGGGTTAGGGGGCAGGGTACCAGAGGCTCGGCAGATGGCTGGTAGGAGCCGGGAGCCGCCTGCGCACTGGGTCTCCAGCTGCAGCGGGTCTGGGCGGGACCTGAAGGGGGAGGAGGAGCCCGATGGTGGCTGGTGAGAGAGAACAGCTGCCCCAGCTGGCACCGTGGCCTGCTCCGCGGCGGGAACCGCAAGGCCGGGAACAGATGCTCGTCTGGCCCCTTTCACTGTGTCTTTGGACATGAACCCTAGTTTTTCATGAACAGCAGGAGGGTAATTTTTTCTCAGCCAGGGGTGGGAGAGAAAGAGGCTGTAATTGTGAGCATCCTGGCACAGTAGCAGCGGAGCGGTCTCATCATTTCGTGGAGTGGAGTGAGCGGGACACCTGCCTGCACCGACGGGCAGGACGGCGGCCACTGGCTGCCAGCGAGTCAGACAGAGTTCTGGCAAAGCAGAGCGCGCCGCCCACAGCCGTCATCGGGGAGGGTTCGCTGAGGCTGGTGGGATCGGAGTGGGCCCCGGGGGAGGGTGGATTCAGATGGGAAAGAGCAATGAGGGTCAGCGATGCAGGGGGGCGGGTGTGAGCAGAAACAGGGGCTGGAGCAAACCCCCCACGGCTGTTCCTCTCGCCTCCCCCTGAGCCTTGCCTATAAACGGCTCAGGCACCAGTGGGAGCGAGCTAAATCCACCACTGGCACCCCCTGCGAGATCACCCCCTTCTGAGCTGCCCCCCAGTCTGTCACCTCTTGGTCACATCTCCAAGCCACACTAGGCCCACAAGACCAGGGCCCAGATACAGAGCCCTGAGTTCAAGGGGCTGCTCCCCAAGAACTAGAAGCCTTCTCCAAGGGTTAGAAGCATTGAGAGAATCCTGGAGTCCTTTCCTTTCTCTTCCCTTTCTGGGGACTCTGCAGTGGTTCCCCTTTCGGGGACTATGCCATCTGATGCTGAGGACTGCCATTGTCATTGAGATTATCACAGCAGCTAACATTTATTGAGCCCTCACTACGTGCAACTTGACTCAAATGAACTCATTTAACCCTCTCAACAACTGTAGGAGGCGTGTGCCCTATTATCATCCCATTTGACAGAAGAGAAAACTGAGGCACAGAGAGGTTGTGTCATTATCCCAGCAGGAGAACGGGATTCAGTCCCAAGCAGATTGTCTCCGGAGGCTGCCCTTCTACTCACCCCTCACAGGAGGTTACAGCATCCGCTGTCCCCATTCACTCCTGTATCTGAATACTCCGTCATCTTCTCCATTAGGCACCAGTGGGGCGAAGCTGAATCCACCGCCGGCTCCTCCTGCGAGATCCCCCACCACGGAGCTTTCAAGCAGGAGCCAGCAGGTCCCAGGCTGGACCCAGACGCAGCAGCCCGGGGGCCAGCTGCGGAACGGGAGCCTGCACATCATCGGTAAGCGGGGCCAGCAGCTGCCACGCTGGCTGCCGGTGGGGAGGTGGTTCCCAGCCCCCAGTGGGAGCATGCCAGCCCCGGGCGCGTGCTTTGTCAGAACAGGGGACTCACGGTAGCGTAGAACAGACCGCAGGTTGTGTTAAAGAGAGGGTTTCTCTGGAGGCTTTCTGCAGGGCTCCAGAACCCACTCCGCACCTTCTGACTGAGTTTGGAGAGGGAAGAAAACCAACATTTTAACGGTGTGTCTGTCTCCATGGAGAAGTCCATGCACAAGGCTGAATGAATGGCGTGATTGGGACACAGTGAACGGACGGACAGAAGGTCCAGCAGGCAGGGGGACAGTTAGGGCAAAAATATGGAGATAGGGCAGAAATTGACATGGGGTCAGGTGTGGCCAGAAATCTTTGCATCCCTCTGTGGGTTGAGCTACTGTCAGCCAGAAATCCTAGATCGCAAAGCAGGGACCTGCCCCGTGAAAGGGCCACGTGCCCCTTCTCCTCTTCCATCAGGAGCTCAGGACAGAACCCATTTGCTCTGGGGGCCCAGGCCCGCAAGTGGACACAGGCCATGCCCCGTGTCAGCTGCCAGGCCCAGGACCCCTGTTCTGCCCACTCCTCCCGACCCAGGCCCACCCAGGAGCTCAGGGGGGCTTCAGGCCAAGGGGACTTTGTTGTCCCTGCCACTGCCATGTTCCTCATCTCTGAGTCTGGGCCCTGCACTGCCCTGTGGCTCTTTAGAAGCTTCCTGAAGATATTAGTGGCCGTAAGGTGGGGCGGGTGACGGGGAGAGTGTATTAATTTCACTCTTCCCAGGTCCCCTTGTCCCAGCAAAAGAGTAAAAATTGAGAAGTGGAAGGCGGCCTTGGGGGGACTAGTCCGGCTGTGGGCACCCTGGCACCAGGCAGGCGAACCTTGGGTCATCACAGTAACCAGAGCAACTTTGCCATTTTCCACATGCAGACGACTTTGAGTCTAAATTCACGTTCCATTCCATGGAAGACTTTCCTCCTCCGGATGAATATAAACCAAGCCAGAAGATTTACCCCAGCAAGATCCCCAGAAGTGAGTACTGCCCGGCGAGGACCCCTGCATGTCCCTGACTGTCCGAGAGCGGCGCCTGGCGTGCAGCGGTCAGCTGCAGGCTGGCTGTCCTCTCGTGTCCCGGACAGCAGTGCAGCGCCGTGCATACTCCTGGCAGTGCCGGAACGTGCATGTGCCCCAGTCCTCAAGGGTCATTTAGACGCTGCTACAGAAGACCAGCATTCAGTGTTCAACATCATCAGATTTGGGTGAATTGACCACTTGCCCCTCCCCTCTCTGGGGCTTCTGACTAGGGATCTGAATACCCCAGGGAAAATGGGATGCAGGAACTTTGCATTAGTAGCCAGAGAAGAGCCTAAAACCCCCAATGTGGAACTGTGGCACACTGTGAAATGGAAAGTGTCCTCAAGCCAATGGTTCTCAGCCTCAGTTCCACATCCGAATGACCTGGAGAACCTAAAAACCCAAAAGGCCAGGCTGCACCTGGACCAATTAAATTAGAAACCCAGGTAGGACCAGGGTGTTAGTCATTGTGAAAGCTGCTGGGTGATGCCAGTGTCCAGCTAAGGCTGAAAGTCTCAGCCCGGTGAGTGCTGCCCCTCTCTGGTTGCATTGGGTGGCCAGGCTGCCACTCAGCTCCCCCAAGAGTGGCAGAGGGAGAGGCTGGCCAGCCTGCCCCTCGCGCCCAGAGGCCAGGGGAGGCAAGTACTTTAGAAATACAGGCAGCAGAGAAAAGCGAGGCAGGGTATGGACAGCACAGTGGTGCTGCCTGTTAGTTAAAACATGAACTGGCTCCTGTCTGGTGCTGAGCCCGTCCGATTGGGCAGCAGCTGGTGAGACGGGACAGAGTCAACAGCCTGGGGTGAGAGTCGGATGTGTTCCCGCCCACACCCTGAGTGAGGCCCCCAATCCCAGGCTTCTGTGGGCCGGCATGGAAAATCATACAGTCACCGGTGTCTGGGATTAGCCCCAGACCAGGGACTCTGTGAGTCTCTTTCATGGAGACCATGGGGAGGTCCCGTCTCTGGGGTTCAGTTTCCTGCTGGTTTGCACCTGTCCGCCCTCCACACCACAAACCTCCCTGCTCTCTGGCGCACCCAGACCGCACCTTGTGATTGTGACCTCCTGGCCCCTGGAAGCTTTTCAGCTGCCGACCCCTACCTACATTAAACTGAAGGCCAGCAAACGTTTTCTCTGAAGGGTCGGTGACGACCTATTTGAGGCGCTGCAGGCCGTGTGGTCTCTGCCACGACTACCTGGTTCTACTGTTTCGACATGGAAACGGCCGTAGACAGTCCGTGAATGAGTGAGCATGGCTGCTTCCCTGTAACTCTTGATTTATAAACACGGGCGCTGGCTGTGTTGGGTCCGCTGGCCATATTTTGCTGACCTCTGCCCTAACCCAGCCCAGAAGAGGAGATTCTTAAAAATCTCTCTGTGTTGCAGCCTTTCCTAATCATGTGGCACGGAGTCCTTCACCGTTCAGACTCTGGGAATTCTAACATGAAGTTTCTGTGTTTGAGCCCACGGTGCCCAGTCTCATCCCTGAAAATACAAAAAGAAAAAAAAAAAAAGCTATGCCCCCCACAGCTCGCCAGGAGGGCGCAGCTGGCAGGCGGTGCTGTGTTCCTCTCGTCCCGAAGAAATGTTCAGATCGGTGCCCAGACCCAAATGCGATCTCCTGATGCTTAGGTGTGGGCGCAGTAAAAAAGGAAGAGGGGGGAGGCGGCGGAGGAGAGAAAACCGACGAAGTGAACCGGCACCCTACAGAGCAGAAATGACACTGGTAATTGGCAGACATAAAACACTTCCGCAGCCCGCTAGCACAATCACATCGGCACGTCCCCGCCATCCCGGCCAGCCGCAGGGTAGAGCCTTGTTAATTATATTAGTGCCAGTCTGCTGCGGGTCATGCCTGCCCAATTACATTTCTCCTCGCGGTGCTCCTACTGCTGGGCAGTAAGCTGGTTCCCCCAGACGAGAGTTCTCCACGGCCTGGGAGACAATGCTGTTCTCCCGGGTGGGTGTGTTTGCACGCTCTCTCGGGGCGGTTCTGCCTGCCTGCCTCCTGCCGCCTGCTGCTCCCTCCTTCTGACAAACACACAGCACACAGATGCCCTAATGCTTCCTTCCTTTTTTCACTTTGAACTATAAATACATAACATGAAATTTGCCATCCAGAGCTTTTTCAGTGCACACACAGTTCAGTAGTGTTAGGCACACTCACATCGTTCTGCAAACACTCCCTAGAACCCCTTTCATTGTGCAAAACCGAAACTCTGTCTCCACACATCCACGACTCTCCATTCTCCCCCCCCCCCACCCCCAGCGCCTGGCAACCACCCTTCTCTTTCCTGGGTCTATGAGCTTTACTACTCTTGGTGCCTCGTCTAAATGGAATCTGTTAGAGTTTGGCTTTCTGAGACTGGTTTATTTCACCCAGCACCACGTCCTCAAGGTCCATCTGTGTTCTAGCATGCACCAGAATTCTCTTCCCTTCTAAGGCTCCGTCATGTCCCACTGCGTGCATGTCCCACTGCGTGGGATTGTCCCACTGCGTGGGCCTGCCACGTTCGGTTTATCCGCTCTTCCACCAGTGGGCACCTGGAGGGCTTCTGTCCTTTGGCTCTTGTGAAGATGCCGCTATGAACATGGGCGTACAAGGATCTCTTTGAGACCCAGCTTTTAATTCTCTTGTGTGCATACCCAGAAGTAGAATTGCTGGATTGTGGGGAAAGCCTGCTTTTAATTTTGTGAGGAACCACCGTGGTGTTTTCCATTTTCCGTTCCCATCAATACTATATAAGGAGAGATGCAACATTTCCCTTTGTTTTATGGGGAAAGCGGTTCTCCTGTAGCTCTGCTGTTGTTTCCGGGAGTGTTTGTGAAAACCAGTGCCCACTGCTGACCTGTAGGGAAGCCTGTTGCATTGCCCAGTGGTTCTCCGGGGGGGGGGGATTTCCCCCCGGGGACATTTGGTGCTGTCTGGAGACATCTCCTGTTGTTCCAGGGAGTCTGGGGCACAGAGCCCATGCTCCCAGCATCCAGGGGGCAGGGACCAGGGATGCTGTTGAACAGCCCACAGCGCACAGGCCCGATCAGCCAGCCCAGGAGGAGCCAGTTAAGAAACCCGGCGAGGGGGAGCCCTATCTGTCGTAGCCTGGAGGTTTGTAGACCTCAGGGTGGTCATTTCAAGGTCATACTGCCACCTGGAATTAGGTCAGGGCTTACATGAGTGTCTTTTTACTTTGTATTTAGTTAATAAACTGGCTGAAAACCTAGCACTCCCTCTGTCATTTACTTGAATATATCTTTATCCCAGAACAAAGGCACTCCTCGATGTAAACAGCATTTTGATGAAAGTGCCAGTGCCCTCGGGATTCGTAGTTTCTGAGCTGTAGAGGCCCCTCTGTGGGGCAGTTCCTCTTAGACACCGTGTCTTGCCTGCACCGCTGCTGCCCAGGATGGCTTCCAGCTCACCGTAGAAAACCTGGAAGGTGTGTTTTAAGAGATTAAAGACGACCCGTTAATTCAGGAGGAATCCTTTCGGTGTATTATGTGTATGTTCATAAGTTTTAAAAATAGTTGAGGTCCCCCTATTTATATGATTTCTGACCCGCTTCCCTCTCCTGCCTTGCAATGTCACCCCAAGTTATTTGTGCCTTTGTCAACATTCCCTGACGATAAGCCTTAGACTTCCTACACGCTTTCACTGAACACGGGCTGTTCCCAGGTTGTCGCCGGGACAGGCCACCCATGCTGTTTCTGCTTTCATGGCGCTTTGTAAGGAGCAGGGCAGCCCGAGCTGTTCAGGGGGCTCGGGGACACGGTTATTTAATTCCTAGTCTGTGGCCCAAGCAGGACAGAAATGTCCCTCACCAAAAGCAGCAGAGAATGTGACACCCGGGCCACCATTCGGAGCATCTGACGCACAGGACAAGGTCTCACAGGACCTTGGACTTAAGGTCTGGGGATTTGGATTTAAGACTTGGCTAGACCAACCACACTGTACAGCTGCACGCGTGTGCATGCATGCACACACACACACACACACACACGGTAACTGCCAAAGGAGGAGTGTGTCTGGAGGACTGAACAGCAAACCCGGAGCAGCGGGGACTCTGGGGTAGAGAATCGGGATGTGGGGGGAAGGGCGGAGCCACTTCCAGTTGGTTTTCTTTTCCCTGTTACGTTCTCCTGTGTTCTCTGACTTCTCGTTTATGAGAATGCATTGACATACAACTTGTATAATGTGTAGCATGTTCCATGTTCGAGAATGAGTTGGGCCCTGGGGGAACAGAGCCTGATTCCGCCAGCACACACTTACCTGTTGCTCTCTCCTTAAACCGGGTCTGGCGCGGGGCTCGGCGCATCTCCGGGGCTGCAGACGGCGGTCTGCTCTGAGCTAAGACTCTCTCACGTGCATTGAGACAGCAGGTCTTAGTGCCTGGTGTCGTCCCCCCACCCCCGCCCCCGCACATCGAACGCGACGCCTCTGTCGTCACAGCCTGGCACGGAGACGCCGCGGTGGAAACATGCAGCCGGGGCCAGCAGCCTGGAGGGTTCAGGTTGACCGGCTCAGGTTGCTGCGGTCCCCGGTGCTGCCGCCGCCACCAATGCCGGGCCAGCCCGCTGTCTCTGGGACGCGCACAGCCGCTCCCTGGGCCAGCAGATGGTGAGATCGCCCCTGTGCCTTTCAGGCCGGACGCCTGGTCCCTGGCTCCACGCCGAGGCTGCTGCGCAGAGCTCCGATGACATCAAAGGCAGAAACGCTCAGGTAACGCGGCCCTCCGAGATGCTGAGGGCGCGCTTTCTCCTAACGCCTTCACGTGCTTTCTCAGACTCTATTTCCCTGGGAGTGCCGCTGGCGGGAACCGTGTTCCCCACTGAAGGACACTGGGATGTCAAAATCTAAAGCGTGAGAGGGGTTGCCTGGAACTGCCACCACATACAGGGGCAAGTTAGAGCCCCGTGGACTCTGGACATTCGCCCCGGTCCCTCCCCACTCATCCCTCCCCTGTCATGTTGGCTCGAGAAGCCCGGGAAACTCCGTCCTGTGCACGAAGCAGAGTTGGTGTCGTCTCTCATCTCTAGGAGACAAGGTCTCGTATCCTTGGGAGCTTTTGCCCACCCCCCATCAGTATTATAATTTTCGTTTACATTTTTATAGAGCATTTCTATTTGAAATTTCTGGCTAACCCAAGAATGTGCGAAGCATAGAAAGAGCTGACAAAATATTGGAGAAAGTTAAATTTATCATGTCTTGAGAATGGTACGAAGTAGTTATATTGGACATGGTGACAGAACAAGAAGAACCCGCGAGAACAGATTTAATATATTTTTAGAGACGTTTTCTTTTAACTAAAGGGAGAGGATTCTGTTACTATGGTTCGGTAGCATTTGATCATTAAATCTGGAAATCTTAAGTTTGATCCCATATAGACATCCACGTTATCATTTATTTTGGCCAGGTTTGGTCACAGGTCAAGTCCTGGTGGCCAGAGGGAAGTGGGAGGAGGGCCAGGTGCCCATGTGATAAGACAAGAAACGCCCTCACGGTCATGTGAGGCCACGTGGACAGAGCGCCTCCTAACCTGGGCGGAGACCACGACTCTCCCTGCGCATGGTCCTGTCGCCTAGTTAAAGACCCTTCATTTCTTTGAAAACACCCAGTAGATCCTCCCCTGTTTGGAGTTCTGTGTGGCAGGGGGTGGGTGACCTGAGTTAAATTGGGCCCTTCCGCAGCTGTAGGGAACCTCAAGGAAGGTCACGGGAGGAGGAAGGGACAAGGTTCCTGGAAGCTGGGATGGGCTCCTTGAAGGCGGACAGCACAGCCGCCTTCCCTAGCACGGCTGACCCAGGGATCGCAGTCACCATCCTCAGAGGGTCGCAGGCTCAAAACTGGGCGTGTGCTGGCCCTGAGAAGGAGCTACGCATGAGTAGGACAGAAGGAGCTATGCATGAGTAGGACAGAAGGAGCTATGCATGAGTAGGACAGAAGGAGCTATGCATGAGCAGGACAGAAGGAGCTATGCATGAGTAGGACAGAAGGAGCTACGCATGAGTAGGACAGAAGGAGCTATGTGTGAATAGGACAGAAGAAGACAAAATCGTGCACAGGCGTTCGCTCTGGGAGGTGAGCGCTGAGTGTTATTTTCCTCCTAGCGCATTTCTGCAATTCCTGAACTTTCCACCATGAACACCTTAGTCCTGTGGTCAGAGACATATAGTCATCATCAAAATAATAGTCCCTGCATTGCATAACTCTGTATTTTTCAAATAACTTGTGTATCTTATCTCACCTGACCCTTTCATAACCCTGTGATAGAAGCTGGAGAGATGCCTTCAGTGTTTTTGTTTTTTTCAAATAAGAAAACAGAGCTCCAAGGGGTTAAGGAACTTGCCCAAAGGCACACACCCAGACCTCTGAGTCCTCGTCCAGCGCCCCTTCCCCTGTAGGTCGCTGCTTCTCCTGGCACGGTGAAGTTGCCCGGACAGGAGTCACCCTCACCCTCCAACGTGCAGGTGTGATCGGACACTGCGCGGGGTCCGGTCCCTGGCCTGTGGCAGGCACACACCCAGATCAGCCAGCCCACAGAGGTCTAGTCCAGGGTGGACTGGGAAGTCTGCCCTGGTCATCCCAGAGCCCAGACCTTCCTTACGTCTCACCGAACATCCCCTTGACTCATCCTCACTTCAGTGAGACACAAAGCGATTGCCCAGAGAAACCCCTGGGTTCCAGAGGGAGCCCTCCATGCCCCAGAGGGCGTTCTTTTATGGACACAGGGCCCACGTGACGTGCGCACAGTGGGGAGCCCTGGGCTGGAAATCGGAAGGCCTGGGCACTTTGTCTCGTTTCCATTGCCTTGTCTTGGGGTCTGCAGCAAGTTTTTTGCTTTTCCTGAGCTCCCCGTCCAGTGAACCTGCTGGTGCTGGATCCTGTCAATGTTTATGAGACGGCACTGGGTCCCCACATGCCATGGACTCATGTCCCATTTCATCCCTTTCCCACCTGTGACCCCCTGGGTGCAATCAGCTCCTTGCATGTGAGGGAGGGCCTCCGTGCCCAGCCCCAGGGTGGGCCACCCGCGTGCGATGAGTCTTCTCACCGCACCTGGTCATGTCGTCGTGTTTCCACAGTTACCTCTGAAGACACTGCGGTGAGAAGACGGAGGAGGCCGGCGGCCTGCGCGCACCTGGGGCGCCCTCCGGGGGACAGGCCTGCCGGGAGACCGCGTCCGACCTCACCACACTCAAGCTGTAATTCAGCTGACATACAGGCTCTGAACGGAGCGTTTATTTATTGTACATACTTGGATTGCACAGGCTTGAAGTCAGTATCGTAGTCAACTTTTATTTTTTAAAAAAAACCACACTCACTGTTTCTCCCTTTTTAAACATGCCTCTCGGCACCCGTCCGTCAGCACAGAGAGCCCTGCCCCCCCCCCGCCCCCACAGGGTCCGTCCCGTGACTGTAAATACGCTCGCGGGCTGGCGCTTCCCGGGTTCGGAACCATTTTTAGAAGACGCCTTGGTTTGCGAGCAGTCCGAAGTCGCAGTGGCCCCCGCGGCTTCTCATTGGCATGATTTTATATTCTCAGCGCACACACTGCAGAATCAAACCAAATAATGCCTTATAAATGACACAGCTCAGAGAGACGAGTGTGTCCCCACACCCAGACAATGCCGCGCAGCCTCCAGCGGACGAGATGCAACGTCTCGTTCCCGTGTTGCAGTACAGGGAAATTTTTTTTTTTTTTTTGCTGCCTAATGTAAATATACCGAAAAGTCACGGCGGGAGCAGGCTTGGCCCTTTGGTGACTGAATGATCCCACAAGCAGCCAACGCTCTGTTTACAGTGGCCTTCATGCCCGAGTCCCCGAGACGTTTCCTCCTGTCCCTTCCAAGTTCCCAGCCCCGTCCTGGCAGCCAGGGTGAGTGGGGGGTGGAGCTTTATGAGATTTTGGTATTTTCCCTGCAAGTGAGAAACTTACATAACTCCTTATTAGAGTAAATTACTAATTCTATCTCGGAGGTCTCTTTTTTCTTCTCCCCCGAGTGCAGGATTTCTATGGCAAGATAAAATGTAGACCAAAACCTTATGAAATATCTGCCTCAAATACCTGGTGCCCCACCCCCAGCCCTGGGAAACCCGGAACCATCCGCCAGGCAAAACCCCAGCTCCCTTCTGAGCTGAACAATGTAACTGGTCTGAGAGCCCCTGGTCCCTGAGACGGGCACCTCTGGAGTGGGGGCGGGGGGAGGGAGTGGTGTCCAAGTTCAGCCAGCCCTGAACTCGGAGCCGGTCAGGACAGGCTCCGACAGCTGCTCACACCCTGGTCTGGAGCTGGCGAGGGAAGGGAGGCCTGCCTTCGCTCGCCGCCTGACCCCACACGCTCTGCATCCTTGGAGAGGGAGGCCGTGACAGCAGAGGGACAGAAAATAGAAGGAAACAGCCGGCTCCCTGGTCTGGTATCAGAAAAGCTGCAGATTCAAGGAGACCGGGGAGGGAGAGGCTGCAAGAGCGGTGCAAATGTTTCCTCTGGAGCCGGCCTCTCCTGCGCTCACGCCTCGAGGGCGTCACGCCCAGCCGAAGCCATCAGACACGGGAGACAGATCGGAGGGCTCTGGCAAACGCGTGACCATGACCGTGACCCCACACACCTGCCTGCAGCCTGCCGTGAAGACTAAAAGGCCACCCAGCGTTACGGCCGGGCTGCGTCCTTGCAGAGAGAAGTGCGTGAGCAAGGTCAAGTTCCCTTCTCGGGGGAGTAAATCAAGCCAAACTGTAACAGCTAAATCAGTGGAAAAGAAGTCTCCCCAGGGCACCAGCTCTGGGCATGGCTGGTTTGTTTCGCAGGCTCTGGAAGCTTTCCGAAAGGTCGGGATTTCTTTATTACGATGGCATCCACTCTGCCTCCCTCTCAGTTGGGCAAAACGATGACCGAGGATTTAACAACCAGGGGTAAGAAGGCCCTAGACAGAGGCAGTTCTGCCTGAGAGTGCTCTGCCTGCCCCCGGGGGGTGCTTACACCTCCGTGCTCTGCACCGCTGGGGTAGAAGTCAAAGATACAACGATTCAAGGACAGAGAGAAGGAAGGAGCAGAAAGCATACGTCGCAGTTAGGGAGGAATCTCGGGACGCGGGCGTTGCGTCTCTCCTGGAAACCTGCCCAAGTTCAGGCCCTTTGAACTCTCAGGACGCAGGGTGAGCCCTCGGCCGTGACGTCACCTCGCACGGAGACGCCCGAGTGCCAGGGCCCCACCCCCGATGGGACGCTGTCTCTGCCCCTGGGGACTCACAGGTGTTTTACATGTATTGACGTTCCCCCTGCAGACTCATCTCTCTGTACCTAATAAACTGTCGTAAGTGGAGATGCTTCCGGCCGTGTCCTTGAGGAAACCTGCCCGTGGTGACCAGTGCCGGGCTCAGGGTTCTCGGGGCTGGTTTCCTCGCCTGTAGCATGGAGGCATCACTCCGTGCCTGAGCACATGGTGGTGAAGATTCAGTGACGTAACACCCAAGCAAGCCCTTACCCCTGGGGTCCCAGAGGTCCCAGGAACGGGCCCGCCCCACACTCCACGGTACAGGCAGTTTGCCAATCCCTTCACCCAGCTCACCCCCTGCACCCACCGTTCTGCTTTCCATCTCTGTGAGTTTGACTACTCCCAGTACCTCGTACATGTGGAATTATACAATATTTGCCTATTTGAGACTCGCTGATTTCACCTAGCACGATGTCCTCGAGGTCCATCCATGTTGTAGCAGGCATCGGAATTTCCTTCCTCTTCAGGGCTGAATAATATTCCACTTTATATACACACCCCATTCTGCATATTCATTCATCTATTGATGCGTACGCTCTTTAATGACCTTTTGGCTTTCTGGAATAACACTGCTCTGAACATGGGTGTGCACGCATCTCTTTAAGAACATGCTTTGAATTCTTTTGGGTATGTACTCGAAAATGGGATTACTGGATTATACGCTAATTCTATTTGTAACTTTCTTGAAGAACCTCCATACTGTTTCCCATCCCAGCTCCGTTTGACATTCCCGCCAGCAATGTACAAGGGTTCCAATTCCTCCACATCCCCACCAACACTTACAATTTCCTGGTTTTTGATAGTAGCAGCCCGATGGGTGGGATCTCACTGTGGTTTTGTATTTACTTGTACAGTGAGTGTATCCACAGAAGGGCACAAAGACAGAGGAAACTGCCGAACTGACTGGGTTTTCTGAAGATTCGAGTCAGAAAAATGTATCCCCTTTCACACGTTTTCTGTGCTGTGAAGGATGCCCACCTTTACTCACGAGACACAGGACAGAAGAGGCCAGCAGACATTCATTTCCATATTTTTTTTTATTGTAAGCATGATGTATTGAGAGACAAGTCCAAGGGCAAGCACTGGATGGGGAAGTTATCTGGTTTTAGACACTTGTACAAAAGGCTGTGGCGTCTACGCGGTCAGTCCCCACGGAAGGAAATACACACTTTCCTTTGCATTACCCCCGCCCATAGCATTTCCCAGCTCACAGGCCTGACGTCTCACGACGTGGTCGCAGACATGTGCGTTCTCATCCCCCCCGAGAAATCCGCACGTGACATTTCGGGATGCTTGAAGTCCATCAGCTGAAAGCACATTCGACACAAACACAGGAGGGGAGCCGGGACCCAGGGCCCGGCGGGATGAAATGCCACAGCTGCAGGGAGGGCGTCCTGGCACAGCGTGTGCCTGGGACCTGCCGCCGCCCCCTTTCTACGAGAACGGCCAGCTGGCGGGTTCCCCTCCCGCTTCCCCCATACGCAGCCTCCCCAAAAGCTGAGAGCTCAGCGGAAGACCTTCCCCACAAATGACTGCAGGTGGTGGCTTCATAACAAGTGCACCGGTCCTACCTGGACCCAGCTTCCCTGCTGGGCCAGGCACAGCTGTGTCACACCTGTGCCACTGGGATGTCACACTTGGGATGACATCAGTGAGGGAGCAAAGTAGTTTGCCCGGTGGACAATTATGTTTTTATGCCGAATAATTCACCCGGTAGCGAAGGAACCTCACTGCTAATATCTAATAGGCAGCGTAGCCTGTAAGAAAGACTTTCTAACAATAACACTGTGCCTTATGTTATTGGGCACTAAAGAACCACCGTAATCGCAAGGACACCACCCTTCCTCTACCTAAAGTTCCACACCAGCTCCAAGCATGAAAGAGCACGCTACCTCTGCTTAGTTAATGCACGTTTCCTGGAGCCTCTGCCCCACCCCGTCCCTTAAGGGTCTGGGGGCCGTCGTCCTCTACGGTAAACCCCTTCTACTAGACGAGGCCCACTAGCCTAGGCCTGGTTATGGGGTGGGGGGGTGGGGGAGACGGTCTGTCCTTCACGGCCATGTCTTCCTCCTGCGCAAAGCATGCATGGCACCACCCCTCCCCCCAAGTCTTGATGCGCACACACACGGCATTCTAGGACGCTATTTACACGCTGACCTTTAAACGTTGTTTTCATAGTTCATCTTGAATGTTCACTTTCTCCGTATTGCCTTTAGAAAAGCAGTCCCTGGTCAAGAAAGTGTCCACATCACGATACGCATTTTTCAGAAGCAGAGTCTGTCCGGAGCATTTATAAACGAACGTTCCTGCCCCCCGGCCAGCCTGCTCAAATCCAACAGCGTGCTTCAAGCTGCTGATGTAAGTCGACAAAAGTCACTGGAAGTGACTGTGGCTGCATCAGCAGATTCTCCGCTCTCTGCTTGTCCTTCCCGACGTACAAAGAATCTGTCCACTGCTATTGCTAGGTTTGCCTATACATACACACCACCTCTCGGGTGGATGGAAGCACCCCAGCCTTGTTTAACTTGGGCCAGGCTGCTGTGCCCTCTAGTGGTAACACGGGGGCATCACAATTGTGCTGTACCGCTTTAGCCCAGCCGACTCCCAGTTAGCCTTGGCCCTCCTGGGAAGTGCGGGGCTAAGGTCAACGCCCCCTCACAGAAGCAGCCATTGTGTTTCTCACCGCTCAATCAGGTTGGCTGGGTTCCCCGTGACCTTGGGCCCATAATAATAAGAGCAGGCCTCCGTGTAATCCATTCTCCCTGGATTCCTTCTGGTCAAACCCCTGATCACCTCGGGTATCACAGACTTGTCAGGTCCGATAAAATGTTCCCATAGCAGGGGGAGGTGACAGCTCGCTGTGACATTTAGAGTGGCTTTCTGCATCCTCTCGTTTTAGACAGCCACTCTGGAGCTGGGCCTAGGAGGGGATGAGGCGCCTACCTCATTCTGGAACCCCGCCCTTCCCCTGGCGGACAGACACTCAGGATGGCAGCTCCCCACAGGAGGGGACCCTAAGTTCATCCACAGCGAAAACCCAAACCGGGACGAGAGTCTCAGCGACTACAGGCCCCCACAAGTGGCTGCTGTGACCTTCGTCAGCTCAGACAGCCTTCCTAGCCCTCAGCACTGGCAGCCAGTCATTTTCCAGACAGAACTGGCCGGACTGCCCGGCAGCAAGCTCCTGGTTCCAGCAAGCTCCGGGCGCACTCACGCCTACGCTCTCACAGGGGAGCTGGCAGGAAAAAAGGTTTGTTCCGGCATAAGCTGTGACCCTCAGGGTGCACATGCGCGTGTGGGACCCACGTCCCTTCCAGGTCCCGTGGGCACTGACACACTGCTTCTGAGCAGGAGTCACTGGGAGTGGTGAAGCTGCTGCCTCCCACTCGCTGGTGTGCTAACACACTCTTCCCTTAATCGTCTCTGCCCCTTTAAATTCCAAGAGTGGCTGAGAGTCTCAGTAGCTGGAGGTCAGCCGGCCCCCCACCCCCTGCCCAATTCAGCCACCCTCTGAGGGCAGCCACTGGAGCATGCGGTGTGTGTGGGGGGGGGCGGGGGGGTAAAGGGAAGGACCAGGGAAAGCCAGGTGCTCCCCATGCAGATTTCTGGGATGTTACAGGCTGGGCCTGAAGGGCGGGGGCTGGACTGTCACCCTGGAGCGAAATGCTTCTGCATCCATCTGTCGCCTTCGCGCCCTCTGGGTCCCCAGCGCTGAGCCCATCTGGCCTTCCTCGCACGCTCCTCCGTGCCCCGGTGGTGAGTCAAATCCTTCATGCACACACGACACGGGGCCCCCGTCGCTTTAATTAAAGTCTCTGCTGAGATAATGCTGCGGCTGCAAAGGTTCCAGCTACTTGAACGAGACCCGAAGCACTCAGAAGTCTCTCCTTCCCTTTTCCTCATTCACTGAGAGCTCCGTAGCTTTGGGAGGTGGAACTACACCGCAGGGGCATTTAATTAACCCTAAACTAGACGGCAGTAAGCAGGCCCGGACCCGTTTCTACAGGAGGCCTCACCCACGTGGCGGGCGTGCTCGCAGCAGGGCGAGCCGGGTGCCTTTGGGGGACCCACTCAGGGTGGTCACAGGCCGGGCTGCCCCTGACAGTCTAGAGTGGGCCGGTTCCAGCGGGCATGGAGGACCGGCTCTCCCGCACGTGGAAGCGGTCTGTGCGTCCACGGCACACGAGACGGGTTCTGGAGGATCCCCTGCCCCCACTGGCCGTGCCCCTCGGAAGACACATCTGGAGACATTCTGCACTAGGGACCTGCACTCCAGTGGAGGGAGGCCGGGAAGCCGCTCCCTCGAACACACGCAAGACCCTGGGCCAGACAAAGAAGTGCCTCTTGTTAACATGAAAGAAACGGTTACTGAGAGAAAGAGTAAGACTTCAAAAGACTCTGCTTTCCCACGCACTCAGCACTGCGGGGCCGGCCTTTCAAGGCCCGAGGAACCCTCATCCTCCCCCGAGAAGGCTAATGGGCCCATGGTCACCGGAACACAATGACAGCAGCTTAAAACCCGTAGGATTAGTCCTACTTAGTCCTACGGCCGAGCAGCAGGTGCGCGGGGCGCCTGTCACACCACGGAGGAAGGGGACCATGGGGCGGAGGGGACGCTGTGAGATTCTGGGCAGAACATGAGTTCACAGTTGGGTTTGGCTTCGGACAAGGTGACCGCAGCAGAACTTTCTCGTTTTACTCAGACAGGAGAGCGGTTTGTTTTGCTGGTAATTTAGTAAGGTGGGAAACTTTAAATAAGAAGGGGGAAGGGAGCGCTTACTTCACTCACTTAAAGAACTTGATCTCCGTGTCCACACAGTCATAGAAAAGGTCCCCCACCTCGGCGGGGTCCGGGGGCTCCGAGCTGGCCAGGATCTCTTCCATCGCCTCCAGGCCTTGCTGCTCCAGGCCCAGCATGGTCTTCCTCAGCTTGCGACCTTGCTCCTGAGGAAGGACAACAGTGGGGGCGGGGGACTCACTGCACTGACTGAAGCTTCGGCTGGGGCAGGGGGTGTGCCCTTTGAAGAATAACTTCTTTCTCACCGGAGACCTGAGAATCTTTCTCTTATTGTCATAAGATGCATCTACCATAAAGTCCACCACGGGACCCATTTTTCATGGCCTGTGTCCGGGCATTAAGTACATTCACACTGTTGTGCAGCCCTAACCCTTTCCAGAACTGTTTTGAAGAATCAGTTCTTTGGTTTTTGGGTTTTTTTAATCCTCACCCAAGGACATTTTTTCTTTCATTGCTTTTAGAGAGAGGAAGGGAGAGAGGAAGGGAAGAGAGAAACATTAATTGGTTGCCTTCCACACATACCAGGACCAGGGATCGTATGCTCCTGGACCAGGGATGGAACCCGAAACCTTCCAATTACGGGACAACACTCCGACCAACTGAGCCACACAGGCCAGCGTTGAAGAATTCAGTTTTTTAAAACAACGTCTTTAAAGTGTTGCCATCATGTGCAATTTTTGTACCCCCAAAAGTATTCAAAAAATTGTAAAGAGCAGAAAAGCAGTTGTCCCAACTAGAAGTGAGTATTTCAATAATTCCTAGGTAAACAGAAATGAAGGAGAACTACTCTTAGCCCACTGGGCTCTAGGATAACATCAAAAGTATAGGCTTTGCTCACCCTGGCTGGCGTAGCTCAGTGGATTGAGCGCGGGCTGCGAACCAAAGTACGCAGGTTCAATTCCCAGTCAGGGCACATGCCTGGGTTGCAGGCCACGGCCCCCAGCAACCACACATTGATGTTTCTCTCTCTCTCTCTCTCTTTCTTTCTCCCTCCCTTCCCTCTCTAAAAATAAATAAATAAAAATCTTTTTAAAAAAAAGCATAGGCTTTGTTTTGCTTCATTCAGTTTCTTTCAAGAGACGGGGTGGGAAAACTGACACCCGCATTCTGGGAAGGGCCCTGGGAGCCCGGACTTTGGGAGGAGACGTGTGGGAGAGGAGGGAACGGTGAGCTGGGTCACCACTCCACCCCCCACCCCACCCCCCCTCCTCTCTCACTGACCCCACCCCCCCGCCCCGGGCCTGCCCCCAGACTCACCTGGTCACTGGCGATGACAGCACGTGCCCACTCGTGGGCCTTGTACAGTTCGTGCCGACGGTCGGGTCTCTCCTGGAACCGAGGCTCCTTTTTGGCAGGGTCCTCGTCCCCGAAGCAGGGAGACTGTACTTTGGGGACGGGTTTTACATCATCGACAAAGATGAAAGGCTTGAAAATGGACCTGGAGAGAGAAAGGAGAGGTGCTTCAGCCAGACGGGGGACGCCCGGACGCTGTCCCTTCACTCCGCAGACACGTCCTGAGCCGACTCCCGGCAGGCAGGTGGGTGCGGGGTGGTGGCACGTGGTGAGTGGTGGGCGGGTACGTGCGGAAGAGACACAACTGTGCAGCTTCGTAAACATTTCAGTGACTCTAACTGCCCTTACAAGCTGCCATTCCTCCTGTTTACGGTGAGGAGACATCTGAACAGACCTGCTTTGCTCTGGGAAAACCATTTGCCAGGCTCCTCCGGTTAAATGGGTGGCGCAATGGGTCCTCTGTTTCAGCTGGAAGGAGGGTGCCTCTCTCTACCACCGTTTGCTGCAGAGTGAGACCCCACCTTGCTCTCTACTTTTTTTTTAGGTTCTACCTTATTTGAAAAAATTTGAAATATCTCTGACACACTCGGGGAGGGAACAGATTAACAGAGATGAGACACAAGGTCCCCAGGGGCCCTGGCCAGGTGTCTCAGTCGGTTGTTGGAGCATCGTCCGGTACGCCGAGAGGCTGCAGGTTCAATGGTCAGTGTGCATCCGTGAGGTAGCCAGTCGATGTTTCTGTCTCTCCTCTCTCCCTCCCCCTCCCTCTCCACACCCACCACCCCAGGCAGGAGCAGCACACAAGGCCCCGCTGGGATCAATACGCTAAACTTGGAGCTGATGGGGAAAGAATCTAGAATAACCAGTTCCTCTGAACCGCGGGTGTCCCTCTGGCTCATCTACTGGTCATTCCGGCTTCTCTCCCATCATTTAGCCAAACTCACATCTGCATGCAGAGCCATCGGTGAAGGACATTCCCACATAGAAGCAGTGCTTTTGGAGCATGGGACAACCTTAGCGCTGGTTCCCAATGCTCGGGGCAGTTTTGAGAAGTCAAAAATGTAGGGTAGGAGAGAGGAGAAAGTTGGTGCTGGAAGAATTCAGATTGAATTGGAGGGGGGGGCGCTATCTGCACCTGGTGTATGTCCACGCAGGTTCTCTGTGCCTAGCTGTGGCATCTGAGGCCCATAATGTCATCTCCAGTAACAGACAGGTGCCACTCGTCCCTAACAGCTGGACTAAACACATGAGACAGTGTCAGCTGATCCAGTGTAGCCTCTCCAGCTTAGTGCACTGGGGGGAGAGAGGAAACCACACACACACACACACACACACACACACACACACACACACACGTCCCTTGCATCTCCCCAGCTCCTTGCCACTAGAGTATGTCAAATGCCCTATTTTCCTAGGACTTTTCTCCTATTTTCTATTTCTTTTTTAATATATTTTCTTTATTAGGCTATTACAGTTGTCCCATTTTCCCCCATTTATTTCCCTCCACCCTGCACACCCCATCCCACCTGCTTCCCGCCCCCACTTTAGTTCCTGTCCATGGGTCATACATGTAAGTTCTTTGGCTTCTCCATTTCCTATACTATTCGTAACCACCACCACCACCCCCACCGTCTATTTTCTACCTACCATTTGCTACTTATTCCCTGTACCTTTTCCCCCTCTCTTCTCCTCCCACTCCCCCACTGATAACCCTCTATGTGATCTCCATTTCTGTGGTTCTGTTCTAGTTATTTGCTCAGTTTGTTGTTATTTTTTAGGTGCAGTTGATAGTTGTGCTTGTTGTCATTTTACTGTTTTTTATCTTCTTTTTCTTAGATAAGTTCCTTTAACATTTCACATAATAAGGGCTTGGTGATGATGAGCTCCTTTAACTTGACCTTATCTGGGAAGCACTTTATCTGCCCTTCCATTCTAAATGATAGCTTTGCTGGATAGAATAATCTTGGATGTAGGTCCTTGCCTTTCATGACTTTGAATACTTCTTTCCAGCCCCTTCTTGCCTGCAAGGTTTCTTTTGAGAAATCAGCTGATAGTCTAATAGGGACTCCTTTGTAGGTAACTTTCTCCTGTTCTCTTGCTGCCTTTGAGATTCTCTCCTTATCTTTAATCTTAGGTAATGTAATAATGATGTGCCTTGGTGTGTGCTTCCTTGGGTCCAACTACTTTGAGACTCTCTGAGCTTCCTGGAAGTCCATTTCCATTGCCAGATTGGGGAAGTTCTCCTTCATTACTTTTTGAAATAGGTTTTCCATTTCTTGCTCTTCCTCTTCTCCTTCTGGCACCCCTATGATTCGGACATTGGTACATTTAAAGATGTCCTGGAGGTTCCTAAGCCTCTCCTCGTTGTTTTGAATTCTTGTTTCTTTATTCTGTTCTGGTTGACTGTTTATTTCTTCCTTCTGCTCCAAACCATTGGTTTGAGTCCCAGTTTCCTTCCTGTCACTGTTGGTTCCCTACACACTTTCCTTTATTTCACCTTTCATAGCCTTTGTTTTTTCCTCTATATTGGAACCATACTCAACCACTTCTGTGAGCATCCTGATTACCAGTGTTTTGAACTCTGCATCTGATAGGTTGGCTACCTCTTCATCGCTTAGTTGTATTTTTTCTGGAGCTTTGATCTGTTCCTTTTATTTGGGCCTTTTTTTGTCTTGGTGCACCAGTGACGTAGTGAGGGGCGGAGCCTTAGGTGTTCAAGAGGGCAGAGCAACTCGCGTGGCTACGTAGTAATGCTATATGTGGGGGAGGGGTTGAGAGGGAACTGTGCCACCTGCTCAGCTCTCTGCCGGCTTTCAGCCACTTCCCCCACTACCCACAACCAAACTGGGCCCTTCTCATGCTGATTCCCGGGTGGGTGGGCTTGCGTGCATTCTAGGACCCTGTAGGTCTCTCCAACGGAGCCTCCTGTGAAGCTGCGAGTTTCTCCTGCTGCCGCCTCAACCCCCACAGGTGTTTTCAGTCAGAGGTTTGCGGCTTTATTGCCCCACGCCGGAGCCCTGGGTTGTGTGGTCTGTCTCGCTCCCTGGTTGTTGCTCCTGATTTACGTGCATGCGAATGTGGGACCCCCCCGGTCCTCCAGCCGCCACCTTGCCGCAAGTTCTCTCCGCCCAGCTGCCCGTCTCCACTGCTCCTACAGGTCTGGATGAATGCTTCTTCTTTAATTCCTAGGTTGTTGGACTTCCACACAGTTCGATGTTCTGTCAGTTCTGGTTGTTTTTTGTTTTTAAACTTGTCGTCCTTTTTGGTTGTGCGAGGAGGCACAGTGTGTCTACCTACGCCTCCATCTTGGCTGGACATCTATTTTCTATTTCATAGGTTGAAGTACATGGCCTAATACTATTAGGGGGAATGGGTTGGGAAATAATCTTCTAATATTTAAAATGGAAAATATTTAAATTCGCTCCCTTTCTTGGATTATCCATCCTGCATGTTGAGCATGTGTGTGTTTTCCCAGAGCCCCGGTTCACGGTGTCTGCCAGTTGCTGTGATGTAAATACACCCCCTGAGGCCCATTCCGAGCTGCCAATGGGACCTCACCGAGCTCTCAGTCGGGAAGGATCGCCGTAGTCAGCTCTCACCGGCTCTGCTGCGCTGTGGGACTCTGGCTTTTACAGTCTCCAAGTGCAAAGGGGCCTCCATTCCCTTCTCTCTCTGAGTTTTCACATCAGTGAAGCTTAAGCAACGACTGGCTTCTAACTGGGAAGTGGTCTCCAGAGGTCAGACCAATGCACAAAAGCCAGTCGGAGTCACTATAGAGGTGATGGAGGCACCAGCTGACTCAACAAAGTACTGGTAAGATGGGATTTGCTTTTTTGATAAATTAATTAAAGGTCTTTTGCATCTCCCTCTAGCCCTCGAACTTCAACTTCTGGACCTCCTTCCAACTCTCAGGCTTACCTAGTGCCTGGTACTTGCTAGGAGGCAGGGGAGGAAAGTAAGGGAGAGAAGGAGGAGAGAAAAGGGAATGTGAGAACGAGTTGTTTTAGGAGAAGGATCCATAATTAATGCGGTGAGCAAAGGGGAGAGAAGTGGCGGAGTGGAGCAAGCAGCAGTCAGACCGCGTCCTCTGGTCCCTGACGTGACTGGGAGGGGCGAGCCAGGCAGTCCCGCCCTCTGATTGGGATCTTCCTCGAGTGCCCTGCTCTGACACCGCTTCCCCAACACGCCTCTCTCGTGTTCTCAGCACGAACAGAAGCCACCACACTGCCCCTGATCTCACTACTGAAAACCCCAAGAGTAGGTAGGGATGCTTCCCGCTGACAAAAGACAAAATGTAGAACACGGCCAATGACAGAGAAACACGGAAATGTTGAAACAAAATAATCTTCTGACAGCTCCGCAGTCAGAGCAGGAAACACAGCTCACTGAACCCAGAAGATAAAAACAAACACCTTCCGGAAAGCTCCTGATCTTCTTAAAGGCCTTCCTGGTTAGCGTGACCCCTGGATAATCTGCTGTTAAAGTTACTTGAAATCTTAGATTTTAAATATCCGAAGGCTATGTCCCAACCCATTTCTCTCACTGTATTAGGCCGTGCACTTCAGCCTAGGAAGCAGCGTCCCTTTATCTTAGGGCCCCAGCGTCACAAAGGCCTGCCTTCCAAGCACCGGGAGAGCAGGCACCTGGCACCGGGAGAAGGGGGGCTGGCACAGCCGCTCTTCGGTTCAACCCACTCCTTCAAAGGCTCCTGCTCCCTAAAGACCAGGCCCCAGACATTGGCAGAGCATTCCAGCTGCCCCCAACGCCCCCATGTACCCCCATGGGCCAGCGACACGTGCTCACCAAGAGGCCTTTGAGCCACCAGCACTGGGAGATGAGCTTCCATGCCTCTGTGCGTTCGCACATGCTGTTCCCTCTACCCAGGACGTCTTTCCTGCTCTTTGTCCCTCCCAAACTCCTACTCTTCCGACAACGCCCCGTGCTCAAGAGTCCTTTCCTCTGCGAAGTGTTCCCCTCGGTCATCTCCTTCGCGCCACCTCTTCCCTTATACGCATTTGGTCTCTAGTACGCAAGAAGTACTGCCGCTCTGCTGAAGTTCATAGGCAGAAAGCAACCCCTTAAAATACAGTGTGCACTTGAAGTTGCTCCCATGGGCTTTGTCCCCTGACTCAGAGGCAGTGGTTGTTTTGAGAAACCCTGGGCACTCCTGTAATCTGTCTGTCTCGCGTCTGGTTGGGCTTTGCATCCCCCACGGACATCGCCATGCCTAGCCCATGACAGATACTCTGTATGTGTTTGCCGAATTTAAAACCACTGGATTCCGTGATTGTGATGAATGCCATGTGACTAAAGCCTAGAACACCCCTTACTCCAAGCTCTTGGTGCTGTGCTGGCCACAGCGAGGCCGACTAGACACTGTGACTCGGCTGTGCAAGAAGCAGTGCAGGAACCCCGTGCACGCTTGGACGGGCTTTCGGGGGTAGCTTGTGCTTTCTGCTTACAGGACTGTGTCTCAGGCGCACCTGGAAGGGTCTGGGGTCCCAGTGAAATAGTGGATGCACGGTGAGCTTCGGCTCTGGGGCAGGACGGACACCGCGCTGGCTGTGGTGAGGAAAGACTCGGAGTCTATGCAGACGCCACTGGCTTTGTCCCGTAAGATGTCAATCATAGTCTGCACACTGATGCTTTCTGGAAAGAGAGGTCAGGGGAGATGTCACTGTGGCAGGCTGCGAACCCAAATCCATCCAGTCCTTTCCCTTTTTTGGTACCAGAACTCCTGAATTATATCTGGGAACACAACTACCTAATTACAGACTGTATTTCCCAGCTTCCCTGGTGGCTAGGTGTGGCCGTGGGGCAAATCCTGACCAATGGGAGGCGAGCAGAAATGATGTGCACGACTTCCTTTTCACATCCATAAAAAGGGAAGCTTGCCCTTCGCTCTCCTTTGCTCCCTTCCTTGCTGGCTGGCAGATGCCAGCAGGTGGGTCCCAAATGGAAGCCATGTGTTGAGCAGGGTAACCTGCCAGCCCCGGACCATCCAAGTACATCTGGATTATCCCGTGGGAGAGAAATATACTTCCATTTCCTTTAAGCCACAGTATTCCAGGGTCTTTTGGATCCAGCACTTAGCAATACCTCAGCCAGCACAGTAACACAAGAGAAGGACACCCATGAGAAGGCACATGCAATCCATGCACAGCCCACCCCCAAGTTCAAGCGCGCTCACACACCCTTACTGGTTAGACCCACTGCTATATTTGGCAAATGACCTCTCTGCAGGGGAAAATGTGGACAGGGAGGTATTTAGAACAGTCAGAGTCCTTACAACTCTGGGCTCTGACTGCAGCTAGATAAACAAATCCTCAATCCCAGTTCTACTTTTTCTCCCTCTGGTTACAATTCATTCAAACATGATTCTTTCCACCTGTGTTCCCAAAGATGGCATCAAAGCATCTCTCAGGGAGAAGGTACCTTAACGCTCACTAGCACGACTCCCTCCTCTTTGTAAATCTCTAACAGGGTGTCAAGCTTTTGCAATCTCTGGGCCACACTGGAAGAAGAAGAGTTGTCTTGGGCCACGCATGAAATACGCAAACACTAACGAAAACTGATGAGCAAAAAAAAAAAAAGGTTTTTAAGTAAATTTACGATCTTGTGGCGGGCTGTATTCATAGCCAGGCCAGGCCTCATGCAGCCCATGGAGCCACACGGACAGCCCTGAACGTGTCACTGCTAAAAATATCAACAGTAAGTCCTTGCTTTCTTCACCTACCTTCTGCTCAAATTTCATCATTGTCTCACATGTGAGGTTATTGATCTGAATCAGGATCCAATAAGTTGATGGTGTCTCTTAAACCTGTCTTAGACTCTGCCTGTCATGAATCCCACTGACATTTTACTTGCTGGACCATTCCTCCTGTACAGTGTCCCGGTCTGACCTCTGCAGCTGGCACCCCCACGGCCCTATTTGATCTGTTTACCCATTCTGTGTGTTCACTGCAAACTAGTGGCTAGACGTGCGGGCGTCATCAGATTTGGGTTTGATGTTTCAGCAGGACAGCTTCCTACTTGGCATTACATACTTTCATCGAGCAACTTTTTTAGATTAAAACTTTGAGGGGGTTTTTTTTTGAGTTCCCATTTTAAATTATTTATAGATACTTTTGTACCTTCTTGCCCAGAATATACTCATTAAGTTCTATAGCAAAAGTCTCAAAATGTTCTCCTAGATTAAGGCCTAGCAAACTCTTTCTTAAAGAACCACATAAATATTTTAGGCTCATGGGCCATACAATCTCCGTGGTAACTCACCTGTTGTAACTGCTCACCTCTGCCCCGGTGGCACAGAAGCGGCCAGAAATCAACAGGTGTGGCTGCATTCTGATAAAATGTTAGTTACAAAACAGGTGGCTGATGGCAGGTCATAGTTTGCTGACCCCTATTCTAAATGATCAAAGGCTTGACTTTACAAAACACATGTCTATCGCTAGCAAATACAAAATGTGGCCATTCAGGTTCATGTGGAAGGGTTTCCACTCTGGCACAAAAGTAACAAGCTATCCAATCAGTACATTTGCTGCGATAATTGGGTGGGAGACAGAGGGCTCATGGAGAAAATTCAATTCCACAGTTAATATTCAATTCAGTTAATAAACGTTCACGGAACACAGGACTACAACACGCATCACAAGGAGATCCTAAGAGGAGTAAAAGACAACACCCCTGCCCTCGAGGCCCCGCAGGCTAACGGGAGGAGAGAATCAGAGGGAAGTTAAGTCAAATACACAAATGCCGAGGTGTCAGAGTGGTTGCAACAAGTATCACAACGGCAGCAGGAAGCTCCATGGATGAGAAAGCACCGTGTAAGGATAAATGCAAGCTGTCGTCTCGCCTGAACCTCAAAGACTTTAGCACGAGTTGGTCTCTGTACATGATGTCTCTTCTCCCCTCCCCCTCTTCACTGGCCCTGAGTTCAGACGAGCTCTCTACAACAGCTGCGGGACAAAAGGTCTGAGAGGGAGAACCGTGAGGGATGAACTCACCTTCTTGCTTTTCCAAGCTGTCTTTGCCTGCACAGCAGTGTGGATGGTCATCGGCTGGAGAAAAAACTTCGGAAAAATTGAACTCGTCCTCTCCCGTCCACCAGCCTTGACTCTGGGCATAACTCCGGAGCTCAGGATGCTCTGCGTCAATCTTAGTGGTGAGCGAAAGCTGATTGCAAATGCACTTGACTCCCTCTGCAGAGAGTACACGGCCCAGTCAGCTGGAAATACACTCACAAAGACGGAACAAAGACATGGAAATTTACAGGGAACCTCTCCCCGGCAACCTGACTTTAACCACGGGGATGAAACAAGTTCCATTTTTGGAGACAGCAACAGATGAGCCTTGTTCCTCTTCTGAGAAGCTCTCCCAGAAGGTCTGACCCATCCTGACCGGCATTATCACTTTGTAAATGAGCAATGGTCACTTGATCTTTAATTCGTAGTCAAAAGGAAACCCTTCCTTCTGGCTACGTAAACCCCAAGCACTTACTACTTACAAGCAAAGTGAAAGGGCCTTTGAAAGAGGCATTGAGCTACTAACAGGACTTGTGAATGTAGCAACTGTAGAGAATCTTCCTCCCCAGTTGAGTCTTGCTCTACCCAAAGAGCGCCGTACAGCACCACCCTCTGCGTATAAATACAAATATGATACTCCTTCATTCAACCACTTTTTCAGGTCCCAACATGTAGACAAACATAGTGACGCTGATCATGGATAGCTTTAAAATAACAGAATTCACCTGGGAATAGATGTGTGTCACGTGTGCACGGGAGAGAAATCCATGGGAATTTTTTTCTCATAAAAATATAGTAAGTGTAGCTAAGGACGTGTGGAGTCAGACACACCTGCCTTCTGAATACACTGCACCTTGAAGGATGAGTGTTGAGGGACCAGTCCCCCTGGGTGCTGGAAGCCTTGCCTTGCTGTGGCTTCTCCAAAGCCTGAGCGAGGACACCCTGGCCCTCAAGCTTCAAGATGACGTCCAGCTCAATACAGAGTTATCACTTGTAGCTCAAAACATGTATTCACAGTTGCTGCTGCTTCCAGGGAGCACGCTGATCTTCTAAATTCTCAGAGAATGAAGTAGGGAGAGAGAGAGAGAGCACCCAGCCTTCAAGCTGCAGTAAAGCCCTTCCTGCCTGCACCCAGCTCCTGGGGGCGGGGGCAGGGCGGGACTGAGTTCTTATCTTGTAGCCTCTCAGCCTCGCTGGTGAACTCTTCCATGGTAGGCTTTCCTGGCTGAGGTCCTTTGCCATCCATTTTTTCAGGGGACACCGTAAGTGTGAAACTATTTATTTTAATGAAAATAAAAAATAGCTTTGGCCTAAATACGTGATTTTAAAAATATTTTAAAATATTTTTTAAAATTTATTTTTAGAGAGAGGAGAAGAGAGGGAGAGAGAGGGAGAGAAACATCAATGCATGGATTGGTTGCCTCTCACATGCCCCCAACCGGGGACCTGGCCCGCAGCCCAGGTACATGCCGTGACTGGGCCTCAAACCAGCAACCTTTCCGTTTACAGACCAGCACTCAGTCCACTGAACCACACCAGTCAGGGCAATAAGTGATTTTGACATTATCCGCACTAAGATATATTTTAAGTCTTATAAATAACTCCACAAACGTTATATGCCTAGAGGACTGATTTATAATAGACATTTGCTTTCAAGAATGCTAGCATTTGGGAGTCAGAGTTCATTCAATCCTGCCGCAACCACACCACTGCTGAGATTAGAGGACATGAAATCAATGAGTCCAGGAATGGCTAGGGATTTTCTCTAAAGATTTTATTTATTTCTTTTTAGAGAGACGAAGAGGGAAGAAGAAAGACAGGGAGAGAAACATCGATCGTTTGCCTTTCACACACACTCCCGACAGGAGACCAAACCCACAGCCCAGGCATGTGCCCTGACAGGGAATCAAAGTGGCGACCTTTCGATTTGCGGGATGACACCCAGCCAACTGAGCCACACCAGTCAGAGCTGGGTTTTTTTAAATTTAATTATTCAGTGAAAGACAACATTCGTTTTGATGAGGTGGGTTTTTAAGCTGTATTTAGAAGTGAGACTAAGCTTTTGAAGTGCAGTTATAGATCAAAAAGTTTTACATTCTCCCTAAAAACAACAGGGTTGTTTTCAGCACGGACCAACAGCCTTCTCGATGGAACCATCTGACAGAAAGACTCCGTCTCAGGAGCAGTTTCCCTAGGGGAGGTTCAAGTTCCTGCGTCGCAGGAGGCCTGGAGACCTGGCAGGCCACGCCAGCTCCTCTAGCCCTGTGACGTCTGTGGAAGTCGGGCAGGCCGACACGCCTGGCACCTGTATGCGGGGCACCCGTGGGTGGACACGCTCTGGGATGGCTTCCAGATGCCACCCCACAGCCTTGCGAGAACGAGGAGAAACCGCCCCTGCTCCAGGCGGACACGACCCTTGCACAGCTCAGTCAGGAAACCCCGGCTAGATCTCACCGCCTCCGCGGGGCGGCCTCTTCCAGGATCCCACGCGCCACTGTCCACGGCAGCCCCGACCGCTGACTGCCGTGGGCCATGGAGAACGAGGGGCCTGACTCCCAGCTACCGCGGCGGACCCTCCGCCTCGCACCCTCCGCACCCGCTCACCTGTGACTCTCTCCGCGGCCCAGTACCTCCCCACGGTCTCGAGCACCCAGGCCTCCTCGCGGTCCACGATCAGGTAGGCGCTCTGGAAGCTGTGGCAGGAGGCGGGGTCTTCATAATAACTCCCGCCCTGTCCGTGCTCTTCCAACAAGGCGACGATGACATCGAGGGCTTCCTTGGCCGCTGCCCCTCTTTCCAAACCAAGCCTGCAGGAAAGGAGAGGTGCACCTCATCCGTTTCGTGCCATGTGACCATTACCATAGTAACCAAGGACTGGGATGAGGCGGAGTTATGAAGTGTGCCAATGTGTGTATGTACGTTAACCACGTAGGCCAGTATGCAAACAAATGAGCAGGACCCTCACGCATTCGGTTCCCAGTCGAGGGGGCGTTCTCCTCTTTGGGCAGCCCCTGCCCACACGGACAGAAGAGTCAGGACCCCAGTGGCTCCGCCACCTCCCTTTCTCTTTTCCAGCTCTGTCCCCCAACACAGCTGCCGGATGGAGCTGCGGCTCCGCCCTCGTGCTTAGCAAGGCCCCTTTGCTTGGCTCCTCCTCCCTCCTGCCTCTGGGCCTCTGGGCGGAAGGAGCCCTCTGCCCAGGCCAGCCACGTTCTCCCCATCCCACACCAGGTGTTTTGGGGAGCAGTGAAGGTGACTGCTCCTCCATGGCCAGCCATCGTGTCCGGTGCATACAACCGGCTCAGAGACCTCAGTGGGAATGGGCTGCTGGTTAGGACAAGATCAGTACCAACCCTTTATCATCTCTCCCGCTGCCTACAGCCTGCCAGCTACTGGGGTGGCTCCCGGCTTCCGTTATCAGAAAGTGCCTATTTCTCCTGAAGTGAAACCGCTGTCTCCTCCCAGCCCTTCCGACTACCCGACCCCTTAAAGAGGGCACAGAGCTTGCCCTCCGCGTCACCTTGGGCAAGTTACACAATGTATTTGAACTTTGGTTTCACATCACCTATGGAAGAGGTGCCTGTATCTTTGGGTTGCTGGGAGGGTGGGTTTTAGGAGATAATGAACATGAAACTAAGCAGCACAAGCACCCAGGACCACGTAAGGGATCAGTAAGTTTTGAGAGGTTACACATTGTGGCAGAAAACAAATGACTGGGAAACAAAGGAGCCCAGCTTCTGGCTGTGCATCTGCTGCCCACTGGCAGTGTGACTTTCAGTAACCACCTTCCCAAACCTTGACTTTCTCCTCTGCTCGGTGGGCACGGCAGGACTGCCCTCTCTGGCTGATTGGAAAGAGGACGGCACGTGCTGAGTACTCAGGAAATGTCCGTTTACTCATCTCTTCACTCAAATTAAAGTCTGGCGGCAGGGACAGGGTCTAAGAACACAGGTGACGGGCCAGCTGGCTGCAAGGTGGCGCCGGCCAGTGCCTGGGGAAAACCACCACTGCAGGAGCAGTCACCACGGACACTCGCCCAGCCCGATTCTCCCCGGAGGGACATTCACTTCACTGTGCTGCCCGGGAGAAGAAAAGGCTACAGGCTACAGATTTATTCCTGTCTAGGCTTCCTTTTGTAGTCAGACAATTATTATATATCAATTCACTGGGCACTTCTCACTTTAAGCCTATTTAGGGAGACTTGGTGCCAAGGCAATGATTTGCGAAGCGGCACCCTAGGACCTATGGAGAGTGATAAAAGAATGAACCTGTTAGAAGACCACAGTCGGTCGGCTCTCTGGTGGTCGGTGCCGACAGGAAGCAGCCAGAGAAGTAAACGCTCATCTTATCCCGAGGATCCAAAGCAGACAGATGTGCTACGAGCACGTCTCCCAGCCTGGAGCTGTGCACCCGGGAGGGTCCCTCCCTCCTGCCCACAGGTCCCCAGCGGTCCTTGGTCACCCTGCCTCACGCATGCACTCCAGGCAGAACCCTGTCCCCAGGCCTCTGCAGGGCACCACCCCCTTGCCCGGGTGAAAGTGCCACGAGCTTGCAGATGCCTGGCGAGGGCAACCCCCCCACCTTCGGAGGCTGTGACTTCTCTCTGGCAGTTTCTAACTCAGCTCTCCTGCTCCTCCGCCTGTTCCCGCTCCGCACTGGGACCCCTAGTACTTGCGCTCGCCCTTCCACGGGGATGATTCCAATTTTATGCCTCATGCCAAGAAAAAAAGAGAGAGAGAGAGACTCCTTTGTCCCACCCGACCTTTCCCACCTGGTCTCCCTGCCATGGGACGGGGACAGGACAACCTCGCCTCAGTCCCAGGGCCATGAGTGACAGGGAGGTTTCCCGTTCCACCTGAGACTGAGAGGCGCAGGTGCACCCGGACCACGGTGACCTGGGGCCAGAGGTCATGGCGCCCAGAGGCCTGCTCTAGAGCTCTCGCAAGTTCTACTTCCTGGATGGGGCAGGTTCACGAGGTGCAAACTGAAAACGGCACCTTTCTGGCCCCCACACCTACTTCACATTGGCGGCTGCACCTCCCAGTGGGCGTGACTGGGGCGGGGAAAGGGGTGAAATGAACCGGGCCAAGGTCAGTCTCGCTCTGACCTCAGCCTCCAGTGCGATTCTAGTCCTTCCAAGGTGGGCGGCTGGTCCAGGTTGCTCTAGGTCTCGGAATTAGCTGATCCCCATTCCATTCTTTTTTCCAAATCCCTGGGCAAACCCCTCTTCGGGGCCCATGACTTTCTTACAGGCGTGCCAAGTTCAAGGTGCCCGTTCCTGAAGTGTTAGCACATCTCGCTAAAGAAGACGAGTCCCATCGGCACTTGCCCTGCTTGGAGCCCCTGTGCTTAGGAACTCCGCCTGCTTCTCTTTTCGGTACCTGTGCCCCCATGGAGCAGGGGGACCCTGTCCCTTTGCATCCCAACTAAGGTAAACTACATTATAACTAGGGTTCCCATGGATACATGGTCACTCATGAAAATGGTCACTGCCTCTTCCTTTATGGGGGTGTGTTCTTATGAGGATGCAGATGCAAATACACTTGCCCTTGAGCAACCTGGGCACCGGGGGCACCGATGGCTGCACAGTCAAAAATCCGCATATAACTGGTGGCTCCCCCCAAACTTAACAAGTGATACCCAGCTGTTGACCGGAAGCCTTACCGATAACATACGCATCAAGTCGACTACCACCCACTTTGTATGTTATACGTATATATACTATATTCTTACAATAAAGTAAGCTGGAAAAAAGAAAACTGTTATTAAGAAAATTGTGAGGTAAATACATTTACAGTACTGACTGAAAAAAAAACGAATCCACATATAAGTGGACCCATACAAAGTTCAAACCCACATTGAGGGTCAACTGTAATCTTCCCTTTTCCCCACAGTCAAGGTGCTTGCAAGGTCTCTCTCGGGTTCGCGACCTTTGGGACATTGGGAGATGACCAGCCCTCAGCCAGGGGGCTGAAAGCCGAAAGGAAATAAGAGGAGTTTAAGGGCTGCACTGACTTGGGGGAACGGGGTGTGAGACCTTTTGCCTGATCTCTGTCCACACCCCCAACCTTGTCTCGAAGCATGCCCACACACACGCAGCTGTGACAGTCTCTGGGCAGCCGGCAGGGTTTGCTGAGGGCCATTCCCTCGGATTCTGCGCCCTTCGTGCGGCTACAGATCTCAAAGCCTTGAGACCCGTCTCTCCTACTGATACCTTAAATTGGTCTGAAAACCTTGCATTGCTCAGTTTTTTGTCTTCTTCCTGCCGCCAGACTAAAAGTGTCTTTGAAGCTTTGGAGCTTCTGCATGCACCACCAGCGTCTGGCACAAAGCAGATATTCAGTATTACGGACTGACCATCTTTAAAAGGTACATCGGAGGCTTTGAAGGCAAAACAAATTCTCTTGCAGCATCCCAGAGGAATCAACTGCTAAAATGGTCATCGTCGCCAGTGCTATGAATCCCACACCACGAATGTCATGGTAACTCACAAGGCAAGGAAGGCTACACACGAGGCCTGAAAGGGGAATACTTTTCATCGTTAACTCTTCATTTGCAGGATTTCTGTAACGTATGGTGGTAAAAACATTGGGACAGCTGTCAAAACATTAAGCTCAAAACTTGTTGTTATCCTGTAGGTTCCGCTCTATTAATGAAGAGAAAACTGACTGTAAATATGAGGCTTTTCCCTCTTCTCCAGCTCAGGGGACCGGCTCCTCTGAGTCTGTAAGGGCCAGGACAAGGAAAGACAGAGAGGAAGGCGTCATAAAGACGATGTGATACCGAAAGGGCCACTCACAGAGCTACCCATCGGTTGGCAGACGCTATGGGCCACAGAGGTCTCCGCGTAAACGGGCAACTTCTCCCCACACCGCCTACAAAATGGGAACATCGCTGTTCCTTCTTCTAGAACATTAGCTTTGGAAGGTCCGTTAGACGTCATCCAACCTCAGGGCTCACACCGGACAAGCGAGGAAAGCGTGGCCCAGAGAGGTGACACGACTTGGTGTATCTGCCCCGAACAGCAAGGGCCCCGGCTCCCCACCCAGTCTCCTTCCTTTCAACACTGTCCACAGCTCGACTGCGTTCCGCTGTCCCGGGAAAAAAGAAAGCCACTTCAGAATGTAGATCTGTCCCGGCCTACCCTCTACTTCAGCCATTCATTCCAAACCAAGTCACCGATTACCCATTATGTGCCAGGCACGCGGCTCCTGGCGCAGTGACACAGTCGTGAATACGCAGACAAAGCCCCCTGTCCTGCCGCCCCCTCTGCTGCATGGAAGCCGGAGGAGCAGGGAGAGGAAGAAAGCGTGACTGAGGCGGAGAGGAGAAAGGGGGAAAGTGGTCTCTGGTCTTCTGTCCCTTGTATATTACGTACTTCATAGACATCCTTGTTCTCCTATAGATTTTAGATATGTTTCAAATAGCATACACTTCACCCATCTAACACACACAGTGTACCAGTTTTTAGCACATTCACCAAGTTGTGCGACTATCATCACAGCCCAAGTTCAGAACATGAACCACACCTCGGAGAGAAGCCCCGATCATTAGCGATCACTCCTGATCTCCAGACAGCGACTGATCTCCTTTCCGTCCCCACGAGCTTGCCTATTCTGGACACTCTGGAGAAATGGAATCACACAGTATGTGACCTTTTGGGTCTGGCTGCTCTCAGCATAATTTCTTTGAGATTCATGATGTTGCAGCACGTATCAGTACTTGATTTGGGGGGGCTGAATAATATTCCACTGTAATCTACTCTCTTTCTCTTTTTTTTTTTTTTTGCAAAGTTTATATCAAATGGCACACATCTTCTTTAGGAGGACTGTATTACAAAATGGAAGGTTTGGAGGGAGACGAACGCTGCCCCACCCCCCACGCGTCCTGGGCGGTGGTTTCGGGGTCGCCGCGCAGTACCTGACCAGATCCATCCCCAGCAAGGCTTCCGTCTCGGTGGCCGGTTCTCTGGCGTTGATGGCTTCATTGGCTATGCACACTCCGTGTTCATTGGCTCCCATTTCTGCCCCCCAAAGCCAGGCGGGTCTGCTTATCACAATGGCATGGGTCTTGGGGACTTGGTCGATGGAGATGTAAGTACACTGAAAAACGAAGACAGGAAAGAGAGAGCCAACACCTGTCAGGTACCGCTTACTTCTCCCCTTGGTACTTACCCTGAACCACCACATCGGTTACAAACAGCCCAGCAAATAAAATGAAAATAAAATGATAAATAAAATAAAATGTCTTGAGAACATCAGACTTAAAAGACAGCCCAAGACTCAGTGCGGCTCAAAGGTCTCCACGGTGACCTTCAGTCTTGCCAGTCACCAGTTTCTAGACTCGTCGGTTCAAGCCAGTCAGTCCATAAGGCTTACAGCTGCGGCGGTCTTCCTGAGCCAGGCATCAGCCAGTCTGAGTATTCTGTGGCTGGTCATGTCAACAGACACAGATGAGCACCAGCAGTCCTAACAAACAGAGCTGTTGATTCCCATTTGCAAAAATCCTTCTCCATCAGTGGCTTCCAAACACTGTTGATACGATAGAGCGCTCTCTACAAAAGAAACTTGACCTAGAAGCCTGACACAGAAGACAGATAAAAGGGAAGATGCTTTGTCTGAAGATGGGAGGTCCCTAAGCCACCCGAGATGATCCCTAGGACTCCTGGGAACACAGTTTGACAACCTACGTAATCACTGTAGTGGTGGAAGAGAATAAGATAGTACCTCACACGTAGCTACTGCATTACATGCACACTCTCCGACACAGTGTGCTTCCCTTTCCGTCCCATTGGGTCCCCACACTGAGCCCAGGAGGTGGACACATGAGAAAACATCCCCAGGAGACAAATTTCTAGCTACAGTCAGAACTCAAGGGCATGCCATGGAGGCCTGTGTGTCTCACCTCCTTCAAGGGGCTGTGTCTGTCCCTGGAAAAAGGGAATGAGCTAATCCAGATCAAACGATTTCTTTCAAAGTCTCTTCAGCCTCAGAACTCTTGCTTTGTACAAACTCTCACATGGAAGCACAAAGACAGTAAACCTGGTCATGGTGTGATGAGAGGCGAATGGAAGAACGGGCGTGGGACCGTGGCGGGGCATCTCAGAGCCTTCCTGGCTGGGGAAAACTCCACTGGATAACTGACCCGGGTTATCCAAAAGGGGCCTCCGATACTGACTATCAGTCTGCGACACACTCTTGGGTGGATGCAGTATGAAACTCAGGGCCGTACCCTGCACACGGCGCAGCAGCTCTCAAGGGAGGGCTTCATCAACCGCCACGGCCACATACATTGTAAATTAGGGAGCTGCAAGCATTGGATCCACTGCAGTCTTAGGTCTGTTTTTGACTCAAGACCCAATTATAGTGGCCGAATGCAGCCCACGAAGATCTTCTGCATTGATTTTCCATAATCTCAGACCCCGGGTAAGAGCTGAAATGCACACTCGTGGGTCACGTGACACCTGCATCTTTGCAAGCCCTGGTAGATTTGCTGTGCCCTGGGATGATGCTATTTCACTCCACAAATATTTGTAAACTGAAAGCTAATTAAATCCGAAGGTTGTCAAGACAACCTGGAGTTTATCATGGCAAACCGATACTAAAATATGCTCTGGAAATGTTTGCCCCTGTTCAGCTGCCAAAAGTCATTTACTTTTAAAATGATTTAGAGCAAAACCTGGCGAAAGCAATAAACAAACTAGGGTCCTCTGTGCTCATCTACATGTAACTGAAGTTTATATCTTGAAATCGCCCTCTTTTACGTAAAAGTAGTCCAGGCATTGGCCAACGCTCTACCGAGCCCCTGTGCACACGGAGCTCCGGTACCCGAGTCTGTCTCGAAAGGAATGAGTAAGTAGGGGAGGAATCTCAGATTCTTAAGCACAGAGTTATCACAATTTTTTTAAGGGCAGGAAAAAAGTGAAAATAGGAAATGGGTTTACTACTTTGCCCTCAAATACACTTTTGCATTTCACCAGTTATTACACCAGGCATCTTGTGCTCAGCGCTGCTGGCAGATAAATCAGTGATCTGTCCACTCCCCGGCCTGGTGGCTGGGAAAGAAGGAGAAGGCATGAGTGTACATCACTGTGACCACCAAGCCAGCGTCCGTGCCCCCGAAGCCTGTCTACTTACTATGCGCTGCATCTGGCCCCTTCCTCCCCTTGTACTTCTGGTCAACCCCATCCTGCTCTGCTTGTTCTTTTCCCAGTCCCTCCCCCCGACCCCCTCCCAAACACTGTCTGACTGCGTGATGTATTGCACGGGCTGTGTACGCACATTCTCTCTATGAGGGCGGGGAGATCTAGTTCATGGATATATCCCGAGCCTGGCACATACTGGGCACTGACACACCATTTTCTGAATGGATGAATGAACGAGTGAATGAATGCATGAGTAAGTAACCGAGGGCAGAGGGAGCATACTAGAGATTCAAAAGAAAAAGGAAACACATCCAAGTGGTCAGAGGCTTTACCAAGTAGGTGACATTTGGGTTGATCTCGAAAAATGGGCCGGACATCAAGGTGTTCCAGACAGAGGTAAAGAGCCTGAGAAGAGACAGACTGGGGTGGGGGCAGGGATGTCAAGGGTGTGTTCATGGTGCAGGGACATCCCCCACTGTGCCACTTAGGGGAACGGTTCTGACATCATTGGGTCCCAGGACTGCAAGAGCTCAGTAAGTAATGACTGAGGAAAATGTTGAAAGTTGAATCGGAAAGAACATACGGTCTCTGTGGGAGTTCACAACACATGCAGCCAGCGTGACCCTCTCCAGGCCAGACTCGGAATGAGGAGGAAGGAAGGAGATCGCCGAGCAGCCAGAGGGACCAGATCAGTCTCTCCTAAGCACCGGGCTGACAGCCATGGCCCAGATCCCCTCACGAGCTACAGAGCAGGGGGCGGGGAGACGGGGTGTGTGTGCCCCCAAACCTTAGGTGAGCCCGTAACACCAGTCCTTCAAGCAGCTTCGTCATGAGCTAACTGCAGGGGCTGGGGCCCAACACGGGCCTTCTGCAGCTGCAATTTCCACACTCTCCGCTGCGTTTGAACTCTGACTAATCCCACCCGGGTCCGGAACAGAATGGGGAGGAGGGCCACACGTGTCTCATATAGATGGGTTCTTCAAAACCCCACTTTGGGAGCAAACCTTGAAAATAAGGAACATTTACACACGATGTAATTAGCTAAACTTTGCAAAGTCAGCCACCCAGGATGTGAACACCGCAGGTGGTCGTTTTTTAAACGGCCTTCACATTTGCCACATTATTAACGAGGCAGGGAGTAAGTAGGACTGGAGGTAGCAGAGGTCTCACCAGGAAAAAAGAAATCCAAAAAAGCAAATGTGGCAAAAATATTTCAGCTCCCCCAGTCAAAACTCCTAGCCCAATTTCTATTAGAAAAGAAAAAAGGTTCACCACTTAAAGGATCGATATTTCCAGGGAGAGTTCTGGCATCCGCTTTGAGTATGAAGCTGTGAAAGTGATAAGCAAATTGTCCTGCTGCCCCATGCCCGCTCCTCACCAGCCTTTAGTAAAACAAATCTGTCAGCGAGTGTGACTCCTGGGAGCCAAAGCCGCACAGCAGCGGGAGAAAGCCCAGAGCAGGGAGCACGGGGAGGCATGTTTCTAGACATCAGAACTGCCTAACTGTAGAGGTTTTACTTAGAGGCATGGACTGGGTCAAGCTCGCCACACTCTCTGGTGGCCCCTAGGGACACACGCCAGGTCGGAGGATGAAAAGAGGGACCTCGACAGGGCGCTGGGGACAAAGACAAAAGACAATTCTTCTGCAGAGCGAGTCCTCTATTATTTCATGTGATTGTCTCAGAGGGGAAAAAGCAAAATCAGCTTCATGCTGTCTCCTACCCCTTGCACATTCCAACACACACTCTTTCTGGACATCTCCCAGGGAAAGGAGGGACAGAAGCTCTCACACAATGGACGTTTCAATCCATGAAGCGTAGCCATTGTGCCTCCCCCCCTACTGTACGCAGGTGGGGGCCCCACCCTGGCACCACCAGCAAAAACCACCGGGAAGCGAGCTGATGAGTCAGATGGGCTTCTCAGGGCAGCAGAGGAACAGGGATGCTTTAGAGAAATAATTCTAGTCTCAGAAATATTTGCAACTCTACAGCAGCATTGCTAATGATCCCTGAGAGTTTCTGTTTGGTCGGTTGGTTGTTTTTTTTCTCATATTTATATCCCAGTGTCTTGCCTACTACTTGACTGGTTTTGAAAATGTGCCCTTAAGATTCAGATGAGTCTTAATAAAGACAAAAGATGTCAACCATGTTTTAGAAGGACTGCTTTTTATTTCTCTAAATCCCGCTCCTGCGAATCAAGAGAAGAAAACAAAACAAACAAAAACAGATAAAAATGGAAACAACAAAAACTTGAAAGGGGGGAAGTCATGGAGATGAGGTTTATTATATACTAATAAGAGACACTTTAAAAAAAACCATTGTGTGTCAAACCTGACTTGGTTGTCAAGAATTCTGTCTCTAACAGACTGGCGGTTACAGGGGGGAAGGGGTCGGGGAGGACGAAGAGGGTAAAAGGCAACATATATATCGACAGACGGACACTTGGGGCACACACAGTGCAATATACAGATGAAGGACTGTAAACTTGAACACCTGAAACTTATATAATGTTATTAACCAATGTCACCCCCACGATTTAACTTTCTCCACAAATTGTGGTGTAATTATTTTCTCGGGCACCGGGTATAAACAATGTACACTTCAGTTAAAATCCACTGTTTTTCTGGAACAGCATGCCAGTGGGGTGCATATTTTTCCTAAATAGAAGGTTCAACAACGTAAGAATGAAGCCACACCCATCTATGGGCACGCACACATGCACACACGCATGCACGCACACACGCATACACGCACATGCACACACACAGTGCAGGGAATCATTCCTCTGCTTCTTCGTGCCCGCCCGGTGGGGAGGAGCAGGGCTTGAGGTAGACTTGGGATGATGCACAGGACCACAGCCTCCTCAGGACCGAGGGGCTCTCACAATCTGCCCTACTCTACAATCCAAAGAGGTGTCGTTAAAAACCCAGACTCTGCCCTGGCTGGCGTAGCTCAGTGG